ACTTTGGGGGACTCTCCTTCTCACTCTCTCACTTCTTTGCTCATGCTGTCAGATGAGTCTTCTCTTCCCTGGCCTGGGAAGCCTCCCAAGGCTAAGAAAGCACTGACGAGTGCAACAGCCTTCTTTCCTTCCTTCTCTCCCTCTCCTTCTCACTCTCAGCCCCATTTGCGTGCCGCCAGGTGAGTCTTCTCCGCTGGCCAAGAAAGCGCTGTTGAGGGCAACGCACTGGGATCTCTTTTTTTTCCTCCTTTCCCTCCCTCTCATGGACCTTATTTTAGGCCTCACGGTCCACCCATGGGCTGGGACCCATGGGTTGGGAATTACTAATCTACACTGTAGAATTAATTCAGTCTGACACAATTTAACTGTCGTTACTCATGCTATGGAATCATGGCAGTTGTATTTTGGTGAGGTACCAGCACACTTTGGCAGAAAAAGCTAAAGAACTTTAAAAATTCAGCTCCCAAGATTCCATATCAGCTTAAGTGGTATCAAACTGCATTAATTCTGCAGTATAGCTGGACCCTTACGGATTTAATCATAACTAACCTAAGTCCCACTGATTTGAAATTGTTTACTCTGGTTTCTCCCTACACTTCTAAATGTACTTTGGCAGCATAGAATATGCTGTAGACATCTAGATGTAATATACTGAGCTTTAGAATTATCAATTCAGCTCAAAGGACAGAGGAGGATGGCTGGCAATTAATTCAGAACATAGAGAAAAAGTCTTCCCGCTTTTGTTTCTTGCTATTATAATAGCACTTTGTGGGCTTGTGTAGGCTTGTATCGCTGAGCACGAGAGCTCGGCAAAGGGGGGGGGGGGCAGGAATCTAACATAATTTTGCTCAAAACACCAGCAGAGCTTTTGATTTGAGAAGAAGAGAGATCCAGGGGCCATGTGCGTAGGCAGCCTAGGCAGTAGGATTCCTCCCCCACTCCTCAGGAGTTTTTTTTAAAGCCATGAAACATTTTAAACTGGTCCCTGAGTTTCAAGCAGAATATTCTTCTACATTTTGAAACTATAATTACTTTAATTGAACTGTGTGATTAGCAGTACTGTGCAATCTTAGTCGGGAAAAAAGAGTCACACCCTCAAATGTATTCACTGTGAACGTGACCTTCTAGATAGCTCTTTGAAGGGAGCTGTGCAGGAATGAGAAAGCAGGCAACCGGAGAGAATAACCTCAGCATGGAAACAGGTTTCAGCACATGGGATCAGCTAGAATAAGAGCTGCTCAAGCATTTGTGCAAGAAGCAGGCGGTGGAGGAATAAAAAACCTCATTTCCTTAGGAGGCATCCATACAATGCTAAAACTCTGTGGCTTTCTCAGTTCAGATCCCTATGGCAGCTGCCTGATGTGAGCAACAGAATGCAAGACTGCCCTGAATACAGATGTTAGTCTGCATTGTACTAAATCTTTGTTTGCTACCAAGCTTTGTGTTACTCCGTGCTTTGGAATTGCTAGGCAATCTGGTATTGCAGCAGGGGTCTGCTCTCCATGTTTGTGGGTGTCTGAAAGAGAGGGGGGGAAACCAGACCGAAGTGCTTTTTTCCTAAAACATAACAAATGGATTGCAATGTTTTCATGAATGTTGGTTAGGATTGCCAAATAGTTACTGAGCAATATCTTTTAGGAAAAGAGCGATCACATTGATCAAAAGGGAGCTTTTATGTGGAAAGGGTATGGCATTTGGGGCTCTCTAACTTGAAAAGGAGGTATTTATTTGTCGTGTCAGGAGCGAACCAAACAGTTGTATTGTATTTAAAAATACACACACAGAGTTCGAAAACTTGGCATTCTATTAAATGTCCTTTGACCAGTAGCTGGCCACTTGGAGTGCCTCTTGTGTTGCTGCAAGGAGGTCCTCCATTGTGCATGTAGCAGGGCTCAGGTTGCATTGCGCAGGTGGTCTGTGGTTTGCTCTTCTCCACACTCGCATGTCGTGTATTCCACTTTGTAGCCCCATTTCTTAAGGTTGGCTCTGCATCTTGTGGTGCCAGAGCACAGTCTTTTCAGTGCCTTCCAAGTTACCCAGTCTTCTGTGTATCCAGTGGGGAGTCCCTCATCCAGTCTCAGCCACTGATTGAGATGGTGGATTTTAACTTCCCACTTTTGGACTCTTGCGTACTGAGGTGTTCCAGCGAGTGTCTCTGTAGATCTTAGAAAACTATTTCTTGATTTAAGTCATTGGCATGCTGGCTGATATCCAAACGGGGTGGGCCTGAGATGTCACTGCCTTGGTCCTTTCACTTTCATTGACAAAAAAACAGCAACAAAAACTGCAATGTAGTCCATACAGACAAAACGATGTGAATTGAAGAGTCATTGTAATTGGTAGTGATGACAATTCTGACTAGATTAGATCATAGCATAGAATCATAGAGTTGGAAGAGACCTCGTGGGCCATCCAGGCAACCCCCTGCCAAGGAGCAGGAAAATTGCATTCAAAGCACCACCAGCAGTCCCTCATTATGTCTCCTCTCAGCCTTCTCTTCTGAAGGCTAAACATGCCCAGCTCTTTAAGCCATTCCTCATGGGGCTTGTTCTCCAGATCCTTGATCATTTTAACCATCTTCCTCTGGACGCATTCCAGCTTGCCATCATCCTACTTAAATTGCGATGTCCAGAATTGTACACAGTATTCCAGGTGTGGCCTGATGTGTATTGGAAGGTTCCAAAATTAAATTTGGATGGAATTTCAGCTATGTAGGTATATTGATACAGTACACATAAGCTGAGCTTATGAAAACAATGTTTTTGTGGTTATATCTAACTACAGGGACATTAAAAAAAAGATAAGAATAATAAATGTATGCTAAAATACTACCCAGTTAATTTGGTGTCGCCCCCTCTGAAGGTGTGACCCAGTATAGTGATGCCACTGGACAGCTTTAAAAGAGAAGTGGGTACATTCATGCTGGATGGTGCCATCTTTGGCTAATAATCCTGATAGTTATATTTTAACTTCATTATGAGTTAATATGTCTTTGAGTACCAGTGTTTGTGGAACGTGAATATAGTAGCATGGCATAATTGATTTCACATCCTTCTTTTGAGTTTCTCACAAGCAACTAATTGGCCACTGTGGGATTGCTGGACTAAGCAAGCCAACATTCCTGGCAAATAATTTTTTCAGGGAGTAAAACATGCTTCCACTGTGCTAATCACCCCCACTTTCAGTTCTGGAAAGTAAGGCTTCTGTGTTTTTCTTGTCATGCTGTTAAAGGTCATTTCCTTTTGTTGACACGGCAGCTGTTATATTTCCCCTTTGACCGATAGGAGTATATTCAGAGATGTCATGGCTGCATCAGAAAAATGTTAGCAAGGTGGCAAGGTAACTCCTAGACCTTGTTTGACTGGGTGTTAACCAGCTGTAAGAATAAAAGAGAACTATATTAATTTCTTTGAAATTTTCTAACCTTTACACGACTGTGAAAATTCCTTCCTGTAAAGACTGCCACATGGAGGAAAATAACAAAGCAGTCACACCTGAGAGTTTTCTAACTAGAAAACATTCAGATGACAATAGAAAGTACATAATTGCCTGTTGTTCACATACCTGATAGGAGAAATGGAATAGATTTCCTTAGAGTTAATGTTCCTGAAATACAGTGCATGGATGACATTAACCTTGGGATCCTTAATATGGGTAACCTGACAATTTTAATGTGTAGGCAAGACATATGGAAAAGTGGCAGTTTCCAAAATGTTTTCATATCAAGTTTTATGAAGTTTCAAAAATAAATAGTGACGATTACAATTGTGCTCAGAAACAGACTCTTAGCCAGTGAAGATATTTTACAACTGATGATCTGTGTTCCTTTTGATTAGTTGAACTTCACAGCCTGACTAATAGAGGTTACTGGGAATTTTCCAGATGGAGGCTCCATATAATGCATTGCAATAATAATCACTAAAGAGTGTATAACCACCAGTATCAGCAAGACACTCATGCATTGAGGTGTGCTATTGGGAGCAGTTGGTCCGCCCACTTCGGCTTGCAGAAGTTGCTATGTGCCAAGGAAGCAAGTGTGTCCTAATCTGCTGGCATTTTAATTTAAGGGGAGTTTATTTTAATCCAGAACATCTTCAATGCTCCCTCCTAAACTGAGCCATCTATTTGATTGTCTAGATTGCCTCATCTTCCAGATTTCTTTACTGAAAATATAATAATAATAATAATAATAATAATAATAATAATAATTGTATTTCTTACCCGCCTCTTCTCACAACACTGCTACCCATGTCTTCAAGGATAAAAAAAAATAATCAAAGATCAAGACATTCAAGTAACAGATTAGTTATTTTATATATTTATCGTATCAGAAGCAGACTGAGGGTACAGTTTTAATGTAATTTTTTTTTAAAAAAAACAACACAAAGTTTAAGAACTTGGCATTATACTAAATGTCCTTTGACCAGTAGCTGGCCACTTCGAGTGCCTCTGATATTGTTATAAGGTCCTCCCATTGTGCATGTTGCAAGGCTCAGACTGCATTGTAGTAAGTGTTCTGTAGTTTGCTCTTCTCCACACTCACATGTTGTGGACTCCACTTTGTGGCCCCATTTCTTGAGAACAGATGAGCTGAAACAGTTCCAGTTATTTTCAAGGAAACCACAATAAAGCAGGTTTTAAAAGTGTTGTTCACATCAAGATCAAGAATATGACTATGCTGTTTGACTCCGAATTTCGCTATCCCAACCCCAACCCCTGATTTTTTAAACAATACATCCCCTTCTTTGTCTTTGATAATATCTGCTGAAAATTAGCTGAGCCTCCCATAATAGCTTTTGAAAAGCATTCCTGTTAAAGTATCTGCATGGGTTAGTGTACTTACCAGTATTTTAAATAAGAAATTAAATGTATATGGTATTAGATCTGATTTGGAGTTTGATGTGGCCTGATGAGAGCAGGTGAGAAGCCCTATGTTTATTAACAGAAATGTCAGCTCACTTGGTATTCTCAGCACTAATTCTCTTTTTTTTCTGTTTTAGAAAAAAGCATGGCAGACCATAAAAACTATTGTCAATTTGCCAATCATCAGCCCTTTCAAGAAGCGCTACTCTTGGGTGCAGCTGGCTGGCCACACAGGTGAGAATCCCCTTACTTTCTTGCTGGATCCATTGCAAATAGAAAACTTCTTATAAAATTGTTAATAAAATGGTAATACCCCCAAATCCCCCATCCTATATTTGAAAAAATGAACTAGTGTTTTCAATTTCAACACTCCCAACTGTATAATAAAAATTGAACTAGTGCTTTCAGTTTCAACACTCCCAACTGTATAATCCTGCTGTCCAAATGTTTGGACTTCAATCTTTATCAGACATTGAATTCAGGAATGATTAGAATTGTGATTCAAAGCTTTTGAAAAGTACAAGGTTGGAGAAATTGAAAGAACTGATCAAGCGGAGAAAGAAACATGTGGTTTATAGACCTGACCTTTAAAAAAAACAAAACCTTGCCTCTGAATATTTGGGATTAGGCAGCAAGCACATTTAAATCAAAGCGATGATGTAGGATCATGTTAATTGATTAATTCAGCCAGGCTGTCCTGCAGGCAGTGTAATTTCAGCTCACCTAAGAGTCCTGAAAATACCAGATGTCATGTAACACTATATGTTTCTCACATTTTCTAATGCAAAATAATGCTTGGACTTGATGTTTCTGACAGGCACAGAAAGAGGAGATAGGTCATTAATGTTAGCCTAAGTCTAAAAGGAAAAACAACAAGATGTGGCGCTCGTCCATTTTGTGATTCTCAAATTATGCTGGGAATATGCATCTCCTTGTGTTCAGGCTGTGTTTTCCACTAGTTGGGTGGAAAATCTGCTATCCAACATGTCCACCACTCTTGGCTGGCATTAGAGCAAATGCAAAACTTATGCAGTATAGTGCCAAGCTTTGGTTTTCATTGTGTGCCCACATAATGAAATGCTGCCATATTTCTCTTTGTTGTAGATTGATATATCACAGTCCAACCATTTTCTTTTCTCCTCTAAAAGCTATTTCATTTCAAAAGGGCATTAATTAACATGAGGCCAATGCTGGAGTTTACATCACAAAGACTTGAAAGGAAAGTTGGGTAGGATAAGAGCTGCTTAAGCAGGCTACTTCTTATTTATCATTTGTAGAAATGGCTGGCCAAGTTTTCTCTTGGCCAAGTTTTTCCCCCTCTGTTGGCTTTATGTGATTAGTGCTTGTTGTCTTTACTGTTTCTGTAGTAACCCCCTGAGGTAAGAAGAAAGTAAACACCAACAGAGTTATGTGCAGAGTTCTTTAAAGGAGGAGGAAACATAATAATAAGCATTTTCTTGTGCAGTCTACTCCCCTCCTTTACAATCCCAGGAAGATAATTAATTTGTTTCTTTACACTTAAATTTCTCCTAATTGCTAGGGAAGCCATCCATCCTAGTACTGAGTACACAGAATTGTGGCAATGCAGCCGAGGTGAACCAACTTACATCTAAGTGAAATGTATAATTTAAACTTCGCCTTCCTCTCCTATCTTGTGGAATATATATTTGTTTATAGAAAAGGTGTATTTCAGTCATAGAATCATAGAATCTGTGAGTTGGAAAAGACCTCATGGGCCATCCAGTCCAACCCCTTGCCAAGGAGCAGGAAATCAAAGTTAACTCATTCCTTTTGGAATTGGCTTCATTTGGACCTCAACTTTCTCATTTCCTTAGTTGTGCATCTTACCTTTGATAAGAGTAGTAAAATAGTTGGGCTACAGGGTTCCTGGACCATTATAGTATCTAGAGCACTGCTTCTTAAACTGTGGGCCCCAACCCCAAATGGGGTTCCCTTAGCTCAATGTTGAGGTCACAGAAATTTTGCAACAGTAATAGGTTTCTGAATGCTACCTAGACATTTACACAAATCTATTAGCAACAATGTACAATGGATTATGTAGGAAAAGTTTCAGCTGTACTTCATAAAAAAAGAAAAATTGCCAGTTTAGTAAGCATTGCAAATGCTGATTTATCAGCAAATGTGTAATTATATACACATTTTTATATATGGAATTGCAGAGAAATTTCTTGGGTGGAAAGGGGTTGGAAGTGGAAAAAGTTTAAGAAGCCCTGATTTAGAGAAGAGTGTGTATGTGTTCAAAGTACACAGCTTGCCATCCAGATTTGGGTTTGGTTTGGTTACTGACCAGTGACTGATTGGCCCTCTCTTGTGTGCGTTGAGTATGTACAGCATTGAACTCAGTTTAGGATACAATGGTAGCTTTGCATATATTTAATCATTTAATCAAGCTACTAGACTAATAAGACAGTAACGGTTAACATTCCATACTGTCTGAAGTATCTAGATTTGAACATGCTTTTATTATTAGTGTAGACATTTTTACAAAGGTTTTTGTTCAAATAGTTTTTTTTATAGCCAGACACTGTTTGCACTGGGTGTTCTTTTTACAACTCTTACATTATCTTTCCAGGAAAATCATCTCACTAGAAGGCAGGGTGCGGCAGTCTTAACAGGAAGGAGAAAGGCCTTTTCCTTGTAGCAGATGGAAAATTATCTGTCTTCATTGTTTTGTTTGCCACAGGGAGCTTCAAGGCAGCAGACGGTGGGACAATTCTGAAGCGCTACTCAGAGAATGAGGAGAAATGTTTTGAGCTGCTCATGAAAGATCCACTGCGCTCCTGCGTTCCCATCTTCCATGGTGTGGTGGAAAGAGACGGCGAGTCCTATATCCAGCTGGATGACCTCCTAGTTAACTTTGAAGGGCCTTGCGTAATGGACTGTAAAATGGGAATCAGGTGGGAGATATTTTAAAATAACAGCAACCTACCCTCTCATTTTGGGGTCTATGCTTGATATCTATGATTGAGATGACATCTGAGCCAGAAAATACCATTTTGGCACTGCAATTATTTTGAGACCAGAAAGCAAAAACTGTAATGGAAAAAGCCACTGGGCATGCTGGCCAAGAGATTGTGGGATAATGTGCCCATCTCACTGTGCGCCCACTATTTCTGCGTACTTCCTTCAAACTCTTCTTTGTTGTCACCCAGAGTTAGTGGGAGAACATCATTTCTAAACCTGTCTTATTTTGGTCCAGCTCAGATCTGACTCTGAATCTTGAGTGCTGATTGAGTCCATTGTTTGTAGATTTTGACTCGTTTGATTGGCAGTTGAAATTTCTTCATTGGAATGGGGAGAAATCTTAGGCTGGTTCTACACAGGCCTTTAATCCGCACCCAATCAAGTTTCAGAAACCTGACTGAGCGCAGATTAGAGTTCATACACTTCTCCCCCCCCCCCCCCCCCGCGCAAACCTGCGCTTTTTGGGGGTGGGCATGTCTAGATGCCCTTCTGGACCTCCTGGCAGCGCACCCAGACACAAAAGAACCCCTCCCCCAAAGGGCTACAAAATAAACATTACTTGCAGGGCTGTTATGAAAGTGGTGCCGGAGATCTCCTGGCATGTTATTTCTTTTTACTTTTTAGCCCTTTTGGGGGGAGGGGTTGGGAGGGGGTGGATACAGTTTTGAATTTTACGGGCCCTGGAAATCCTGAGACAGCTGTCTGGATTGGGCTTGAAAGTCAGGCCCAGTCTACACAGGACCCACATCTGGAAAGACCCAGGTCTTTCTAGGTGTCAAATTAATTCAGGACAAAGCAGGGTTTTACTGTTTTGTCCCAAATTAATTTGCTTTTACCTGAGGCATCGTTTGGGTGCCTCAGGTAATAATGTTTAAGCTTGTGCATTTTGGGTGCTGTGTGGATGTGCACTCCTAGACCCACCTAGGTAGTGTTGCCATTGGCTGTGCTGGCTGGGGAATTCTGGGACTTCAAAAAAAACTTTTCCAAGATTTAGTGTTTAAACATTTTTAATCTTGCTGTAACTTATTGGAAATCTCAGGGACATTCTTATCAATGTGGCAAAAATGACAGATTGGTCTTCAACTTCATTCCCCATTCCTTGGAAAATGTGGACATCTTAATGTTTAGCTCTGTACAGAATGCTTTCTCTGTGGGTGTTCTTTAGTGTCAGTTCAACAGTTATTTACCATATATAAAAAATCTACCACTGAGGTGCTAGAATACAGCAAACATAGCACCCTGTATCTAAATGTATATTCCAGTCTGGTGCAGAATTTGTGATAAGGTTATTAATGTACTTGTTTTGGTCCCTATCTGCACGGGGAAGACCATTTTTTGCCCTTGAGTGAAATCATTTTCAAAGGTCAAGGCTTCTGATTCAGAGTCATGCATAGAAGTAGCACAGATATTTTAACTAGATTTATTGTGTCATCACATCTATTGCAATTACAGGAGAATCAAGGTCTTTCCTCAGTTTTGACTAAGTAGCAGGTGGTCTGTCCCCACACTTCATATTAGGATTATAATGTTTGCAGAATTATTCTGCTCTTTATGGATGGTTGGCTGATGGGAAAAGATAGTGATGGATCAGAGTAATATTACACTACATTATCACCTTCAGTTTAGCACTATTTTAACCTCTATGGCTCTATTTTAACCTCTATGGCTTAATCCTATGAAATCCTATGAAATCCTGGGATTTGTAGTTTGGTGAGACACCATTACTTTTTGACAGAGAAAAACTACAGCTCCCACGATGCCATAGTATTGAGCCTTGGCAGTTGAAAGGGTGTCAAAGTTAAAAAAATGGGACATTTCTTGTCTTCAGCTTGGCTGTTAATGTAGTCTATTGTAACCATAACCCCAAAAAGTCTAAACTTTACCAAAATTATGAAGTAACTTTTGTAAGCTTTATCATAAATGTTCACTAAGATATTTTGCTATTTCTGGAATATATATAGAAGCATGCACTTTTATGGCTTTTCTTGATCTCAAATACTCTGGGATTTGTATTTAGTGAAGCACCAATACTGTTTACCAGAGAAGGCTAACCATCTTGCAAAACCACAATGCTCAGGATTTCATAGCATTGAGCCATGAAAGTTAAATTGGCTCCAAACTGCATTAATTCTACAATATAATGCACCCTAAACTATTTGACACAGAGTGTCGATGCATCCTCAGTCCCTCCAAGATTCAGGAGATAGAGTTCCTAGTTCAATACTTGGAAATTATAAATATATTTGAATTACTAATGTGAATTACTACTGTGAACTAATGTGAGCCCCCGGTGGTGCAATGGGTTAAACCACTGAGTTGCTGAACTTGCGGATCAAAAGGTTGCAGGTTTGAATCTGGGGAGCGGCGTGAGGTCCTGCTATTAGCCCCAGCTTTTGCTAACCTAGCAGTTCGAAAACATACAAATGTGGGTAGATCAATAGGTACCACTCCGGCGGGAAGGTAACGGTGCTCCATGCAGTCGTGCCGGCCACATGACCTTGGAGGCGTCTACGGACAACACTGGCTCTTCAACTTAGAAATGGAGATGAGCACCAACCCCCAGAGTCAGACATGACTGGTCTTAATGTCAGGGGAGAACCTTTACTTTTATTAATATGAAATCAAAACAAAACAGAAATCCTAAATTGGTGGTTGGGATCATGTAGCCTTCAAAAGTTGTACTGCAGCTCTCATAAGCCCTGATCAGCATATCTAATGGCAACCTGGAAGAGGGCAATTCCTTTATAGTTTCCTGTAAGGGAAGCTCACTCTTGGGAATCTCAGTATCAACGAAGTGCTCAGTGTCAGGTTATTTTTGCAGGACATATTTGGAAGAGGAGTTGACGAAAGCAAGAGAAAAACCGAAGCTACGTAAAGACATGTATAAGAAGATGATTGATGTGGACCCTCTGGCACCCACAGCAGAGGAGAACACACAACATGCAGTGACTAAACCACGGTATATGCAGTGGAGGGAGACCATTAGCTCCAGTGCAAACTTGGGCTTCAGGATCGAGGGGATTAAGGTAAGCCATCTTCCAAACCTTCCCTCTCTAGAAAACACTCTCTAGTTTTTCCTAGTTACAACATTTTTTCCATAGTACAATAAAGGTCTTTTGAAGCACTAAGGGCCCATGCAGACAGTACCTTTATTGCAGTATCTACAGCAATAAAGGAGAGGCTGTCCAGACAACGTCCTGGACAGTCCCAAATTATTTTGCCACAAACCTGGAAAACCCTGGTTTGTGGTGATTTAATTAGATAGTGGATTTATTCTGCGCCTTCTTGGAAGGCGTGGGATAAACCCACTACTTCCGGTGTCTGGATTACAGTCCAGACACCAATCTCACAGTTTACTGGGCTAAATAATCCCCACCTACTCCCCCAAAGCCCCCAGAACACTTTGAAAAGTAATGAAAACTTACTTGGCCTCCATTACAGGCTTGGAGCAGGTCTCCTGGCATGTAAAAATGATGGACTATTCCCCTCCCCCCACTCTCCTAGCACATCATTTTTGCACACTGGGATTGCTGCTCCAAGCCTTTAATGGAGGGTGGGCAAGTTTTCATTATGTGCACTTTCTGGGGTGTGTGTGAACAGGCCCCCAGGAAAATCTGCATTTTTTAAACGTGGATTCTCCTGGGATAAAGGCCTGTCTGGATCCACTTTAAGATATCCATGCAGTAGACTAGAAGAATGAACAATGTAAGAATGAAGCAAATGGAAACTGTAGTGGTGCCTGGAAATTCTCAAGAAATCATTTGTATCTGGAACTACATGATTTATTGAAATGAACTGGCACTCATTTGGATTTCCATATGGTATGTATTTCTTTGTCTGTTAGTATACTGTCGGGTAAGCAGGAACAACATAAGTTAGAGCTTGAAAATACTGAAATGTTTTAACTCTGATCTAATAAAATCATCCTCTACGTTGGCGATGGTCCAGTCTGTCTTACTGATTTTTTTTAAGTCCTAGAAAAATCAATTATTTAGTGATGTAATCCACCCACTGTTTGTTCTAGTGGTGAAAACACCACTAGTACAGATTGTAATTGACTGTTATTTCATAGTCATGTTCAAAATGTAGAGATATAGTAGATTTTGAACATGAAGGGTACCATAACTCCTCTCAAAAAAGTGTGCTTCATCTTTTTTATGTTTGATTTGGTCTGTTTTAGCCTTTTGCTTGACAGATAAGCTTGATAGGTAGGCGCTGGAAACCAAATGCAGTATGCTTTTCTCAAGTGCTACTGAGTGTTGAAATGGCCAAGGCAACAAGGCAGTATTTGTTTATGTTAAATTGTTTCCCATGCACTAGTTTCACTGCCACAGGGTCTAGTATGGGTTGGTAATTGTGGGATCATGTTGGGCAGGTATGCTAGGAGCTAGAGTTAAGCCATATCTGGAAAGCTGCACAATTCTCTCTCCAGTCTAGTATTTGAAAGCCTTCATAGTTCTAGCCCAACTTACCTGTCCAAATGTATATCTCCCTTTGAACCACTTAAGAGTTTAAGATCATCTGGGGAGACCCTGCTCTCGGTCTTACCATCTTTGCATGTGCGACTGGCAGGGATGAGAGACAGGACCTTCTTAGTGGTGGCCCCTTGGCTGTGGAACTCTCTCCCCAGGGATATTAGATTAGCTCCTTCCCTCCTGACCTTCCGCAGAAAAGTGAAAACATGGCTTTTTGAACAAGCCTTTGGGAACCTACTGCAATTGATAAACACAGAACTATGTGAAATCGAATCCTGGAACGGCTTAGATGATGTTTTTGGATGACAAGGCTAATAGTGAAGGTAGTGGTTTTATACGTTAAGGTTTTAATGTATGTGTTTTGTAATTCTGTTTTAAATGTTTACTGTAATTTTACATTGTTTTAATGGCAGTGAATGGCCTATGTTACAAAGCTGCCTTGAGTCACCTTCGGGTTCGAGAAAGGTGGCCTAGAAATATTGTAAATAAATAAATAATAGTTGGACAGTGTATTGATCCTCTATATCAAGCATGGGCAAACTTTGCCCCCCTCCCCAGGTGTTTTGGACTTCAACTCCCACAATTCCTGGGAGTTGAAGTCCAAAACACCTGGAGGACTGAATTTTGCCTATGTCTGCTCCATATGATTTGTTGTTTTCAGCATGAAACTGCATTTGTCTCTATTACACTGTAACAAAATCTGAAAAAAATTCTATTCCTGATTTGAAAGTTTTGTTGTAAGTGGTACTTACTTTGTTACATAGTGTTACTATTTCAGATCAGTGTTGGCTGTGTCAATAAACTGATTCTTTGTCAATATGCTACGCTTAAAATGTTTTGCTACTCTACCTATGTGCCTCCCAATCACTTCCAGTTCATAAATCTGTCAGTCGGTCAGTCAACCAATTAATCAAGCAGTATAAAAATATGCACAGGTTAATGCCTAGATGTGATTGTCAACTTGGCACAGGCAACTGGTAACTTCCATGTTTGCATAAGTCCTTATTGAAGTTTGTAATGGCAACCATAAGGGAAGAACAATTTCTGAGTCAAGTTCCAGTCTGAAATGTCAGCTCCTAACTGGAGCTTTGGGAAGCAATGAAGAGGAAAGGAGCTATATTTAAAAAACAATATAGCAAGTGGGATGACCATGTTTGCTTTGGTATAACAATAACGTATATTCCACTTGCTTTAAAAAGTTGTTTTAAGGAAATTTTGGAAGCATATTTTAAAGCCCCTTTTTAAATAAGTGATCAGTGTCTGAAAATGTGCCAAAATAAAATTGGAAAAAGAATCTTGGCTTGATGATGGAAGAGTAAAATGGATCCAATCTTACTTTTAGAAAGAGACTTCCAGAGCCCAGGAGCAGTAACTGAGAAGGCCCTCTTGTGCCTGTGAGAATGGCAGGGCTGAAACAAGTGTTTCCCCCCAAAATTTTAGGGCTCAAGACTGCCATATATGGGAAAACACAGTCCATTTGATATCCTGGATTTGAGTTCTATAGGGCTTTATTGGTGGTAATGATTACACTGAATTGTACTCAAATACAGAATGGGAATAAGGGAGTGTGATCTCAACATAACCAGTTCCATTAGCAATCTCAAATAGTGAAGTTTTCTATCACTTTTTAAAGATAGCCCTCCATAGAACATAATACAATAAAGGGAATGGGCTGTAACTAAGCAATGTTTTTTAGGCTATCCTTCCCCAACTTGGTGCTTTTGGGTTACAAATCCAACTATCTCCAGTCAATAGTTGGATTATGTAATTTGCATACATTTGGAAATGGTCGGAGATTGGAGAAAGCAACTTACAGTGTACTTTTAAAGGAGCCAGCAACAACTGTGTTGCATTCAGGCTGTACTGTAAGTCAAGGTATTTATATGATTGTATCTGTTCGTCCTATGATTACACATATTAACATGAATTATTAATATAATGGTGTAACAATTTGCGTAATGTCAGCAGTGTTGGAAGTTAAACATTTTCACTGTCCAAAAACAAAACAAACATTTGAGCTCATGAGCAGTAGACAGCAAGCTAGAAACCCTTAAGGCATTAGATCGTGTCTGATTTTGGATGCTAAGCAGAGTCAGTCCTGGTTAGTACTTGGATGTGAGGTTGACAATGAATACCAGCTGCTTTGAGTTATAGTTCAGAGGAATGATCTGGAAAAAAAACCCACTTTGTTTAAAGACCCTTCTACACAGGTCCTAAAACTGGATTAATCTGGACTGAAAGGTCTGGATCTGTTGAGGTGTTAGGCTTGTGGATATTAGCTCCTGGGATCTCATTCCACAAGACCCAGGGTCAATCCCCACAGTGATCCTGTTTTTTTTTGGGCTTCTGGAGGGAAATCCCTCCCCTCCCCACAACCTGCTGTGTTATTTTGACATGCCAGGAACTCTGGACTGGGTGGGGTGGGGGTGGGGGTGGGGGGCTGAGCATGCCAGCAGTAAGTTTAGGGGTGAAACAGGGGGCTGGTGGTTGCTGAATGCCCTCCTGGGTCAACTTCTGGAAGGCATGTAGCCACCCCCCAGAGTTGGAGGTGGGGACTAAATTCCGGGAGGAACTGGGATATAATATTGGGTCCCATATTAATAGAACAATAGAATCTGAAAGCTTTTTTGAGTGGGGTTGGGTAGGTATTAGTAGCATGTAAATAAATCAACCATTTCAAATGAGGGTATGTGCCTTCTCCCCATAACTATGGGTGTTGTGTCAGGTATGGATATTAGTCAAAAAATCTAAAGGATCCTGTTAGATTTTCTCCTCTAGTAATTGTTAAGCGGGTGTCACAGATCACACAGCTAGTGTGCCATCTGGTAGCAGCCTGAAAGGATCCTTTCCCTGTGTTCACAGACATACAGGAGTACATCACTTCAGAGTTTTCTGAGATTTCTCTGCCTACGATATACACTGCAGTTGCATAACTTTCTCATCTTGTCAGCCTGTATGCACTTGTGCTTGAGCCTGGCCCACACATTTGGAGCAGAAGCACTGGATGAGAAGCTACGAAAAAAATCGCCATAAGCTTGTCATGCAGTTTTTGAAATCAGCTGAAAGATCATTGTATAACTGATAAACATGAGACCAGATTTTACTGAGCATGGTGCTACCAACCCAGGCCGAATTTCATTCAGTTTTAGGAAGGTTTATTTTGAATTCTTTAATTGATAGAAGCACTGATTTCAGAACATAGTGCTCTTTCCACAAGTGTGGAATTCATTCATTGTATTCCTTCCCACTCACCTTGTTTACAGTGTAGGTTGGATTCACTTAGTCACACTTAAGAACAGAGAAATAATTGGATTTAATTTAATCATGCTGAGTTTAAGTACCTTAGATTTCAATGGTTTTGTGTAAGATTTACCAAATCTGGCTCTGACCCAAAGCATATTATTTCTCAAATGGCACTGAGAATTATTTGCAGTAGGCCCATGTATTACACAAGAGACCCCTTTCTAGGACCCTTACTGTAATATGATTTTTGCACATAATCTTGGATTCTATTTTTCTTACCTGAAACGGAAGATGTTTTATTCCATTTCAGGCACAGCACTTCATAGAATCTCACAGGAGAACTAGCAATGCCTAGAGAAATGTTATCTTGAGTCCTCCAATGTGGTTCTATGGTCAACTTCTGGAGGAACCTAGTTCTAATGCAATGCATCTTGGAGGCATCAGGCAGAGGAGAGTTACTTTATTTATTACTAGCTGGATTTATTACCACACGTTGCTGTGGCCAACCTTCACTCCCTCTTCCTCTCCTTCTTTCTTTTTCTCTCTCCTTCCTTCCCTCAATTTTAGTCTTTCCTTCTTTCCTTCCTTCCTTTTCTTCCTCTTCCCTTCCTTCCTCCCTTTTTTTTCACTTCCGCTTTCTCTTCTTTCCTCCTTCTCTACCTATTCTTGGACTGCAACGCCCAGCAGTCCTCCTGATTGATTTATCTACCTTCCTATATAGCTCTATCTAATCTATCTATCTTATCTTCCTGGGAGTTACAGTCCAGGAATAGGAAATTGGAAATATGCAGGAATTGGGATGTGTTTTGTTTACCGGTGTGTGTGTGTCATTTTTTTGCACATGTGCTGTAGCATCTTTTGGCTTTTTTGGGGCTTTTTAAGTCTCTTCTGCTGTGTTTTTCTGTGTTTTTATGAATGATAGTCACTGATGGGCCTGAGAGGTGTATTGTGTCCAAATTTGGTGTCGATTCATCCAGTGGTTTTTGAGTTATGTTAATCCCACAAACTAACATTGCATTTTATTTATATAGATTAATTACAAGTTGGGGTTCCAGAACTTGGGTGCTAAAGCAGAGAACACCTTCTCATACTCCCTCCCACAATGATAGGACCTTGGTGTCTTTAGACATAGTATTGGACTGATGATGACTTTTGCAAATAGTATGCCTAAATACCCCAAAGATACCAAATTTCATCTGATCTTGGTTAGTACTTGGATGGTAGACCCCCAATGCATACTAGGTACTGCAGTGGATGAAACGGGCAAAGCCACCTTTGAGTATTCCTTTCCTAAGGAACATCAATGGAATTAATCATGTGTTAACGGGTGACCCGAAGACACATACACACATAGACATAGCAGTGAGTAGTTCTCCTTACTGGTATGGTTTACTTGCATTTCGATAAAAGACATCCATCTTGAAATTAGTCTTAAATCATTTGTTTCAAGTTAACTTTCTCAGGCTTCAGAAACCTGGGCTTTTGCCTTTTTTGTCATCCCCCCTATAAATAACAACTCACTTTATTCCTCTTCTTTCTCTTTATAATTTGCAGAAGGCTGATGGGAGTTGTAATACCAACTTCAAGACAACCAAGACATGGGAGCAAGTTTTCCACGTTTTTATGGAATTCATTAAAGAAGATACTGCTATATTGGTAAGCCAAACATAGACGCTTAATGCCACCTGCTTGCATTATTATTGAGCCTTGCTTTGGCTGCTTAATTGAGGTGACCAAAGGAGAAATTGATATTTGGCATCATTGCTTTTTTTTAAAACCAGAAGAACCTATGTTGCCACCATTTTCTTTGTAATAGCTTGGTGGTGATGGTGGAAAACACCTCCCATCCCCTTTTAACAGGTCTCAGTCCTGGATATATTAGGTAAATTCCAGTCTTGTGTGTAAAGTGTCTGAGCTTTTGGTGGTGGCCCAACACCAGGATTTCTAGGATTATCTTTGTCATTTAGACCTATTTTAGTGTGATATCTGGCTTGATTTTAGATGAAATGGCCTCTTTTTAAAAACCTTGGTAGATGATTTGTTTCAGGAACTAAATGAGGAGTGGGTTTCTGTTAATTTGCTGGATCTCTTAGTAGTTTTTTGCATCTATAGCATATTTCTTGGTCACCCAACAGAATTGGGATAATAAAGTCCATATTTTTGTTTCAATCTTATGTAAAATGCAGCTTCAAGAGGTGCTGCTGGGATTCACAGTTAAGAGAACTTCTACTTGTTTCTTTGACTGTGAGGCCTATATAATCTATATAAATAAAAAATGTAGTGTTAGTTTGTGGGATTAACATAACTCAAAAACCACTGGATGAATTGACATCATATTTGGACACAGTATACCTATCAGGCCAACGAGTGACCATCACTCAGAAAAACACAGAAAAACACAGCAGAAGAGACTTAAAAATCTAAAAATAAATAAATAATGCATTGCAACGCATGCACAAAACCACATATATACACATATATACAAACACATACACAAATATGTATTTGTACACACAAAACACATATACACAGACTGGGCCATAGCAATGCGTGGCAGGGGACAGCTAGTCAGCCATAAAGGGTTACATCTTGTTCTCCATGTTGTTGAACAACTATATGAACCACTGCAAGATGCTTCCAGATAACTGGAATACGGTGCCATCTGTATGGTGATGGCATACAGCTCGCCTAACCCTGGTAACCCTGAACTTAAACCCAGGGGCTATGATGGACTGAGTGTGGGCTAGCAAGCTGAGACCTAATCCACACAATACTGAAGTGCCTATAAGCAGGTAGGAAAGCAGATCTGATGATGGATGTTCTGCCTGTGAAGGGATAGCAGTTCCTTTGAAAGACCTGGCTTTCCTGAATGGTCAGTTTGCAGCTTTGGCCAGGAATGCTGGTGTGTCAGTTTTTGGCTTTTCCTGGAGTCAATAGATCTGGCTGCTTTGATTTCATCCCCTCTTATCTGTTGGACTTATTTTGAAGAGTAATACTGCGAGGAATTACAGTTTTGCAAGAGATGAATAGTAGTTAAATGTTAGCAATTTACTGTTCTAGGGATTTTTAGGATTTGCATTGATGTTCCTACCAGGTGGCATCTCAAATTATCCAATGCCCACCCATCTGTCTGACCATAAAATGTTAAGTAACCAACCCCTCTTTTTTAACAGAAAAAATATTTAAGACGTCTGTATGAAATTCGTGGTATCCTTGAATCTTCAGAGTTCTTCAAACGGCATGAGGTGAGTATGGGTGAAAGCTTTTGAATTCAGTGCAGTAAAGACTCAAGCAACTTCGTCATTTATTACCATTTCCATTGAAAGGAAGCACTGACAATAGCCTTGACAAAATGATGGCTGTGTAAGGTGCATAAAAGAAACTTAAAATGTAGCTGATCTCAACTCTTTTCTCAAAGACAAGTTCCCTCTTACTAAATCAGTTTATAAAGCCCTACCTCAACTTGGGATCAGCTTATCTATTTTCCAGTCTTGAAACTAAACCTGAGTCCATAGTAGAAACCTCCTACCTAAATGGCACTACCTAAAAGAATCCTCCACCTTGTGCAACTGTGGAGCAGAGCAGATAACACAGCAGCTGTATGCTTGTCCGCAATGTCCTGTCTCATGTACAGAGGAAGAATTGTTGGAGGCTACAGACAATGCGGTTGCTGTTGCCCGTTTAGCCACTTGTGCTCTTTCTATTTTTATCAGTTTTATACTAATTTGTGCAGTGTTTTTGATACAAAATAAAAAATAAATGCATCTCACTGCATGAATTTAATTAATACTAAATCCTTCAAATTTGATTCAGAAACTAGACAAGCAAGGGTTGTCATTCTTATGATTGGTTGTAGGGCTTTTGTTACAGAGAGGTCACTCATATATGCTTCTCTGCCTGGCATGTTGGCTACTAAATATATGAAGGGTAAGCTAATTGTAGAATCTGCAACTTCTTACACATCGCATTAGTATTTCTCTACCCTTTTCTTTGCAGGTAATCGGAAGTTCACTGCTATTTGTTCATGATGAAAGTGGGCATGCCAATGTATGGCTTATTGATTTTGGAAAGACTACTCTTCTCCCAGACGAGCAGACCCTGGATCACAGGATTGCATGGGAGGAAGGAAACCGGGAAGATGGATACTTATTTGGACTGGACAATTTGATTGCTATCTTAGCAAGTATCTTGGAGAGATGAGAGGAACTGATTCAAGTTCAGGAAAGGACTTCACCTTAAGTTTTAATTTTTTTTCATAATCAATCCCTCTGCTAGAGGTTAAGCCTTTTAAAACTTGCCATACTCTGTGGACACAAGGACCTAGGATGCTGCTGGAGAAAGAAATAGAAATGTAGCGCCACCACACAGTGATCTGGAATGCAAACTGGATGGATTCGGTTTTATGGAACAACAGAATGAATCTTGAATATTTATACATTGGATCAGGACCAAGTGACTGCTTCACTCATGAACCAAATCATTCTGGATCACCTTTTAGCAACTTGGAATAAATGTTGCTTGCCTCAAGTGAGATTGAAGAGACCAGACCTCTTCTGTGGAGGAGTTGTCTTCAAAATTAATAGGCCGGCCTCTTTTCTATTTCTCACCCCATTCAAAGGGATGTTCACATTCCAGGGGTTTCCTTGAAACACCGTATAGAGATATAAGGCCTTCAAGCCTTTATTTTAAAGTCATAACAGTAATAGCAATCTGGTTACTATAATGCATTGAAATTTGAAAATGTACATAAAATGCTGCTCAATCTTCAGAAACCAAAAGGCACTTGGGGCTTCTACTAGCCAATTCAAGTGTATATTTGCCCTTGTTCTCCCCATACCCCTTCTGTTCTTCCCAGCCTTTCTTCCCCTCCCAATCTGTTTTCTCTCCCTGTTCCCTCTCATGCATAGTTTTTCTATTCCCTTTGCCAAAGTGCTGTGCAGTTTGCCAGTTGCAGAAGCAATCCCTGCTCAAAATGTTTTATGCAAATCCAGCCTGTAGTCTTGCCCACAAAACAGGATTGCAGTGTAAAGAAATCCATGCAAAAGGTGTGAATTTGCATGGCTTTATACTGAGCTCAGAGTTGGTTTGATTGAATATCAATTTCCTTTGCTTGTGTCAACCTGGGGAGTTCTATACTATCAGCTGTCATACCTTGAAGAAGGCTAAATATGGGAGAATTGGGTCTGCATTTGATTTTGCAGTAGTGCCTCCATATTTTCATCTGTGACTCTTGTTATAACCTGCTGGATTTTTAATTGTTTTATGCAAGAAATGCTACACATTCCAGAAAGAAAGCATCAGTATGCTTTGAAAGGGGCTTAGAACAATTTTAGAGAAGTTTGTGCTGGCCCAGAAATGACCTCTTTTGCCAGCTGGCATTGCACCTGAATGTTTGAACATCTGAGGGATTACATCTTACTGGCGTAGTTGAGCTAGTAAAGGTAGAACTGACGTATGTAGTTTACACTGAAATGTTTCATGTCCAAGGAATCAGGATGCCAGTTTTGTTGCTTGGTGTAAGAGTGCTTTAGCTTTGACTGATTCCAGACCTGCAGTTTCTGCATGAATATATTGGCAGATTTAAAAGAAATAGTTATCTTTCTAGAGCTAGATAGAGAGAGATACACTGAAGACTTGAAAAAGAAGGTGCTAGGTACTTTGGGAAAGTATTAAGAACTGTTTAGTGTATCAGTTGAAAGTGGTATTTCTATAGCAACCACATATTTTGCAGCAACAAATCAGTTGTGAAAGTGATGGCTTATGTTACAGAAAATACTGTAACTTCCATCCTTTTCTTCTATGAGGTATCAAGGCTTAAAGTCACTAACAAAAAGTATCATGGATTGATCTGGCAGAACATTTTTCTTGTGTTTTGCAGCCTAGCCATAAAGTTCCATTAATCATGTGATACATGTGTCAGTTGTCACAAAACTAGTTCCAGCAGTGGCAGTAGCAACTGTGTGTGTTGTTGCCTCTGCATGCACTACAGAAAGGTTGGCTGAGGTTAGGCAGGGGTTGACTCTCTTGATTTGATGCCATTGTTGGTGCCAGGCTTTAGGAGGCTGTAACACAATTGGAGGAGATCGCTTGAGTTGACTATCCTATCAGTCATGATTTCAGTTGGTCTACTATAGTTGGGATTAACCCATAGGATTTCAGCCTAAAATGCTGCAACTAGAAAGATATCCATAGCTATGACAATGTAACTCCAGGTAGTAGGGATGGGGAATATGTGGCCCTACATTTCTTGTGTGGATTGCAGCTTTGGTATGCCAGTGTAGTGCTGGTGGGAGATGCATCCATTATCAGTTACTGAGCCTCGTTCCTCTAAAGCAGAGCTAAGCAACTCAGCGTCCTACACATGTTTTAAACTTCATGATCCCTGGCCATGCTCGCTACGATGTGAGTTATAGCCCAAAACTATAGGAAGAGTGCCAGCCTGCCTACTGCTGTCATAGAAGATATAAAATGTGGAACTATATTCCAAAAAATAATGGTTGCATCTTTTATCTTCAGTGACGAAAGCATGGAAGATCTGATATACTGTTTAATTCCATGAATTATACTTCAGTGATGGGGACTCATGCTTCAAATGGTTGTGGACTTTAGCCGCAACTCTACTTCTTTTGTAACCAGACGGAAAGTCTTGTCGTATTTGTAGAGGATGTTGCTCTGAACACTACATTGCAAACAACTGTATAGGCATCTTAACTGTATAGGTTGAGAAGTTTAATAGTTCCAGTTCAATAAAAATTTCACTGAAGACATGTCAATTCAGTTTTTATATTGGGGATCCTTGTGCCTCTGACATACATTATTTTCTTCCTTTGCTATTCAATATAATATAAAATTCATGCACATTAAAGATACTAATAGTATCTGCTTGAATATGAGTAATTACGGATTAATTATATAGGGATCGCAGCCTGTCTAGGTATAATGCTGGGAAATAGTCAAGGATTGTCTCCAATTCAAAACCTCAGCCTCAGAGAATAAAGTTTTTTACACTTACAGCAGAGAAAGTAATGATGAGATTTTCTCTTCCACCCAATGTGATATTGGTAATTTTCAGCTCCCACCTCATGGATACTCTTGGTATTTTAATAAGCATTTAAATGTATAAGAAGGTGCAATCCAATAGGTCATATTTTCCTTTGTTACCAAATAACGATGTTGTTTTGTTTCAAGACTTGTGTTGTATTGGCAAGCTGATTCATTATCTGGACCAAAATGAGTGCAGAGAATCAGCACTGCTGATGGATAAAGTTGCAAGAATTATTGCTCAGGAACATCTCTCAGCGCTTTGTGAACACCTAATGGTGGAAGGACAAAGCCATCGTTGTAGGACTAGTGCGGGAGTGGTGCAGGCTGAAGAAGGGCTGAGAACGAGTTTGGCATGAAATGGCCACAACTTTAATGGTGACATCTGTATATGTTGGCATGACATGAGGCACATAAGGACATGAGGAACTGAATTCTTGACCTGGAGCAGGAGTCAGTAACAGAGATGGCAACCACACAAGCACTGTGTGGTTCTGTGTTACCTGAGGTCCAACTTGAAGTGGGCATACCAGCAAGCCTCTATCCCCCACACCTAAAGGCTCCTAATGGGACATCATGATAGATTGATGGACTGCAAGGCAACTGAATCAAGCATCTTACAACTCTCTTCACTCTTCAAGTTGATTTGTAAGTAAAAATTACAAATCACTGTAGATTCACCAACAAGTTTGAAGGCAAATGTTACGGTAGGGGCCACCACATAACCTCCAGTGCATGCAAGCCAGAAAGGCGATAGGAGTTGAAACTTGCAGGGTGTGACACTCCTATAAACATACTTTCCAAGCAGTCATGAGGTGAAACTGCATTTCTAAGGGTGTCACCTGGGATGACCCCACTCCAGTGCCAATTGGGTACCTGTCTCTAGACGCATGAATGGCACAAGGGAGTCTAGGAAGAGGAAGCTGAACAAGTAGGGAGAATATAGTGACTTCCAAACACTTGCATCCCTGCTGCAGCATGAAAAGGAGGGGCCCCTTATTTTTATGATAAATAGTAATTTTATTTCAATCTTTGTGCATCCCAACAAATTGGGTAAAACATTTTTTAAGGTAATGCTAGAAAATAATGTATCAGTGTAGCTTCTTAAAGGATTTATTCTGCCTTAGCTCAGTGCATCCTACAGAAACAAACTAATGAGCCTACCATCTGCAGGCATTCACAGTATCATTGCCCATAAATAATTGTGTTACAGCCAGACAATGATGAACTCCTCGAAGGGAGGTCTTATTCCTGAAAGTTAAGATATTGTTTTAAAGTAGAAGTATTCCTTCATAATGAGCATGCTTGTATTGTCTCTAGATATGTAAATCCTGTTTGCCAGAGATTACAATGGTACAAGAGCAATAGCAGCCGCAAGCTATGCTGGGCCATGACTTCCAGAATCACATGGTGCAGGGAATTCTGGGAGCTGTATTCAAACAAAGCTGGAGAGCAGTTGAATGGAGAAGTTTGCTATATGCAAAAGGAACAAACATCTCTTCCAGTCCACTTAAAATTAATGGACAGTATCAAGGACAAAACCTAACATTTTAGTGTGACAAATATAGTGCATTGGTAAACTCTCCAAAATAAGTGGATTAGAAGCTTTCATTTTTTATGGAACATACACGGTATCCCTCTATTATTATATCCCCAGAGTGGTTGACAGAAAAGTCTAGGCAGCTTGTTAGGATGTCTTTATTTCAGCATTGCAAATATAGAAGTATACATCTTGTCTGGATTGAAATTGCATAGAAGCAGACTTATTATTCACAAACGGAACAGTGATCCCAAAGGGCAAGATGGCAAGCACTGTCGCCATTATTAGAGGTAAGGGCCGCTTGAAAGCAATTCATGTAAGTACAAAAACGGTGAAGATGCTGAGATCGCTTAGTTTTATCACAGGGTGTATGGTTTCTCTGTGCTATTGCAGAAAGGAATTAAAAGTAAATGGGTGGATCACATCAAATTGAAAGGTTTTTTTAAAGTTGAAGAGGTGGTGGATTCGTGATGTCCAAAGAAAGCACATTGCTAGAGAAAGGTATAGGGCATAAGAAAGAGGGAAGGCTGGGAGAAAAGAAAATGGCTTGCAGGGATGCTGTGGAAATCAAGTTGTTAGAAGGAAATGCATCAAGGGAAGCCCAAAAATTCAAACTCCATATTATTGTATACATTTTGCTATCAAGCCTCCATTCTAAAATGTGTTTTACAAAAGCAATCAACTTAGATTACATAGCTATAATATGAAAATATAGGGAAATACTAGCAAGGGCTGTACCTTAAAATAACTTATATTGGAAATGATTTTTATTAATTCAGCATCACTAAGAGAGGCAAGATAGTGAAGATGAGCTTCAAGAGTGCCCACCACTTGAGTAGTGGTCAGTATCATTTCACCTTCATCCTTAACCAGTATGTGACTGTGATCCTATTTGATTCTTTTGCTGTATTTGGACCTGAGGCAATGCTCTCTGTGTCAGTGAAGTGGTGGAAGATCTTTACCTCTGCACAGTGACAATGGTACATAAATACGAGTATGCATATTTATACTTTAGACCAAACCATAAAGCAGTCAGAAACATAAATAATCTTAACTTGATGCAATGATTAGAAACCACTTATGAGAGAACAACTGGAACACAAAGGCAAGATTCCCTGTTTTTAGGTTGTAGACCAGTTCATACAAAATTGGTTCAACAAAGTTTTATAAAACTCTTGATTTCAAAATCTGTCATATCCCTGTCATAAGAGGCCTCCATTACTAATGTTCAGTCCTTAGGATTCCAATGGATTTTGTTTTCAGGGCAATTCTAGAAGGGAAGAAAGTGCTCTAAGGTGGAAAACTAAATCCAAAACTCTGGTTAGCTAATAGTAGTAGAACATGGGAGTGGGATCTCTCCCGTTGGTTCCAAGGTCGGCTGTTTCTCCATCACCAGTAAAAATACGTGTTGCAGTAAGTAGAAAGTTTGGTACTTGAACCATTTAAAACCCCTCTATGCCCAGGACATACTCCTCTTGCTTTTTGCTGTTTCCCCATTGGCACACCCTTAGCAAAAGTGGTGGATGTTCCATGTTTACAGTGGGAAGAGTTGTGTGAGGGAAGATAAGATTTGCTAGGTGGGAGAACTCACAATAGCATACCTTTCCAAGGACTGTAGAACTGTGTCCTAAATGTACTCAAGAGTGGAGCCAAAATAAAGTTTGGGCCAATGGGCATGTGAGAAAAAAAATTAAGGTGGCCAAAAGTATATTTTGATGAAGTGAGATGATAATAGAACTCTGTTAGGGATATAAAACACCTGCTTCTATGTGTTTACTGCATGAATAGGAATTCTAAGTTTAGGAGGGAAAATAAAATATTGCAGCAAAACTTGCAAAGCCTTTCACAACTCACTCTCTACTTTGAAAGTATTTGAGAGGTGAATATACAAAATATTCCCAAGCTGCTACTGGCTCTAAGCTCTCCATGATGCTTCCTGGAATCAAGAATTTTGCATCCATGAAGAATGCCTTACAGTAGGCCTGCATAACTTGGCAGTAGTAAGGGGCTCAAATTAAATAGGCTAAACTTCTTGGGGCCACAGGCAGTTTTTTAGCACCTCACTTTCCAAGTAAAGGTATAATTAATGATTAATTAGGATTATTGTTGCATGCCTTCAAGTTGTTTCCAACTTAGGGCAACCATAAAGTGACCCCATCACTGGCCTCCAGATCTGGGATCTGGCTTCTCTCTCTCTCTCTCTCTCTCTCTCTGGGATCTGGAGTCTAGGCCCTCCCTTAGGCTTCCCTCTTGTTCTGCAGGCACAGCAGCAAGGAGCTGAGAGATGGGAGGAAGAAGCCCTGCATGTCAGGAGCAATGGACAGCCATTACCATCTGCTCCTTGCATATAGGGCTTCCCCCATCTCACCCCCTCTCTCCATGCTCTCCATCTGGATTCTTTCTCTTCCCCTCAAGGTGCAGTGTAAAGGGGATGGAGAGATGGGAGAAAGCCCTGTGTCCCAGGTCCAAGAAGCCAAGGGTTGTGGTGGTGCTATTATTTTGCTGCTTCACCCCTCTGCGAGCTGCACCAACTCCTTGTGTGGGCTGCATCCAGCCCTTGGGCCACATGTTGTGCAGGCCTGCCTTATAGTGATTTTAAAGGGGGAAAGTATCCTTGAATTACTTATGAAATGCTGTGGCTTTCTATAATGCTGTGTTAAGGAGCTCTGTTAATGTGCTGAAGTAGATAATCATGATTTCTTGGTATCCTTTCATCCATCTACTCTGAAGCTTGACATGCTAATAGTAAGTAGTAGATATCTCCTACACATGATTAGCAGACATTTGTTAATAACACAAATACAATTACCAGCCTTTAAAAAGATGTCAGATGACACCTAAAAAGAATCAAAATGTTTCTTGGTGACCTCACCTCAAATAATGGCCTTTATCATGTTTCACCACAGAAGAGCTTTGAATATATATATATAATGTTCAGTTTACCAAACAATTAATACAAGAGTGTGAATTACTACTGTTGAACAGTGCTTTTTTAAAAAGACAGAGTTCCTTGTAAGTCTATTAAAAAATCTTGTTCATTTTATGCATTGAAGAGTATTCCCGAGACCTAGATTGTGGTGCAAAGCAACATTCAGTAATGAAAAAAGATTATATCAATTCCATTTTCCTCTTAAAATAAAGACAGTTTACTTTCCTACATTTTAATGCTTTTTCTGAAGAAAACAAATTTTATATGCCTTCCTCAAACTTTGGATCTTCTGGGCTGTTGTAGGTTTTTCCGGGCTATATGGCCATATTCTAGAGGCATTTTCTCCTGACGTTCAGGAGAAAATGCCTCTAGAACATGGCCATATAGCCCGGAAAAACCTACAACAACCCAGTGATTCAGGCCATGAAAGCTTTCGACAATACCTTGGATCTTCTGTTGTGAAAATACTGGTCCTTCCTTGTTGCAACCTATAGCTTTCAGTCATTGTATCCAATGCAAACCCATTTTTTACTCACTAAATCAGACTTAATAATTGATCATCTGGAAAGTGCAATACAGACCATTGGGCTATAACAGTAACTCATGTTTTTGCCAATTCTGACCTCTTGTGGTAGGGATAATTTTTCACTGGAGGTGATTGGGTGTGACTGCCTCCATGGACCATTAGCAAGGACCTCATTATATCCTGTAACTGCAAGCAATGGCTTAATAGGTTGGATCAACTTTTATAATTTTGAAATACTTCATTGGGTATTCACAGTGCTGGCAGCCAGAGCAAAACAACATTAATCCGTTTGTTTCTAGAGGGTGGAGAGTGGGAGGAAGAGCTGGAAGGAAAGAAGGGAAGAGACAACAAAAAACAGGCATTTTCATTGCTGTTCTGGACATACTCCCAGAGCGAAGGCCTAACTCTTTGGAAGAGCATCCCCTATTACACAGGTGTGACACTGAGATCGTCAGATAAGGAGAGGCCAGAGTCCCTCTCTCTTGAGGTTTTCTCTGGCTTTGAGAAAAGTGTGCCATCTCTGTGCAGACTGGCACTCCTCAAAACTGTGGTTGACTCTGCTGCCAAAGGTGAAGGCCTATTTGCTTCATAGCAGAGGTCATCATAAGCATAATTCACATTGCCACAGGGAAAATTCTGTAGCTTCACCAGTTCAATCCCAGCAATATCAATATGAGGTGAATGGTTCTGGCTTGGAGATGAAGGTGATGCTCGAGAACTGGGAGAAGAACTGCAATTCCCATCAAAACCAGAATCTTCTCGTTCTTGTGTTGGATTGAGTTTGGAGCTGGGACTGGGCTGGCAAGTGTTCTCCAAGACCCAGGACCCATATGTTGGATTCCAAAGGTTTTTAGTTTTGTTCTTCAGCTTCTGCTTTGGCTGACTTGTGGAATCCAGTTTTGGGTCTATGGTTGACTGAGCCCAAGCCTCACTCCTGGAATCACTGGTGCCAGGCAGGCTCAGTCCTCTGCCTATCCAGTTACCAAGGTTCTCCACTAGCAACTCTTGTGGACATTGCCCATATTTGTTCCCTGAATTATGATCTTCCAGTGTTCGGGGGTTTGTCTGAGGCGTACAGGTAGAGTTCCCCAGGAAAGGAACCATGCCAGTGGAACTATTTGGATGCAATACAGTGCTTCCTTCATCATCTGGTGTTGGGCTGCATTCAACGGGCAGCTCTGTATTGATCACATCAGGGTCCTGAAAAATAAGCATTTCAGTTCAGTTCCTTCCTCTCTGGAAGCAAATTTGTTTGACTTCCCAAATTTTATCCAATCAAATCTGACATGCAGACATGACTGAGCTATAAGTTACCTACCTATGATTGGAGATGTGACATTGGTGCATATGTGTATGTGGATTAATGTTTCCCTTGTCTGCAATGCTCCAGGAAGAGAACTCCATTCCTTGGACTTAATGATTTCATGGGGCATCCCCTTTAGAAGGCCACATTTATAACTTAACTATGAAGCGCTTGAATAATAATGTTCCTCCTCCTACTGCAAGCTTTACAACTGCTTCTACATTCCTGAGAGCAAAAATAGCACCAAAAGCCTGCTTGCCAACCCTGCTTTTAAAAAGAAAAAAGAATTGTTCCAAGCTGGTGTCATTTTACATTTTTAGCTTACTCAGATCCGGGCACCAACATACCTACAGTAAATACGTAACATGGCATTTTCTTCTGCTACAGAACACACTGACATGAGCATAAGCATAATCTTATTGTAGAACGGAGAAAAATGTTTTTAAGTTCCATTCATTTAATGGCTTCTCTCTATTCACTGAATGCAACCCATTGCATTTTAAAATCCATAACCATGTTGCCTTTTGGGAAAAGAAACCCGTATGGGAAGAACATCAGTCCCAGTACACTCAGGCTGATGACAAGCTTTTTTGCACTGATTGGTGCTGTGTGATTTCCATTCGGCTGCCAACTCTACATTCTGAATTTCATAGGGTTTGCTTAGGCAAGAAATACTCCTCTCATCTCTCTTGCTTTTTCACCTCTCTTTGTGGGTCTTGGGGAATCTGATACTTTGCCCCAAACTGTACTTTGTCTTCATTTTCCTGATGATGAGGGGAGCTGATTTTTTTTCTTGGACTACAGTTACTTGGGAGCCCCTGGTGGCACAGAGGGTTAAACCGCTGAGCTTCTGAACTTGCTGACTGAAAGGTCAGTGGTTCAAATCCAGGGAGCAGGGTGAGCTCACATTATTAGCCTCAGCTTCTGCCAATCTAGCAATTTGAAACCATGCAAATGTTAGATCAATAGATACTGCTTTGGCAGGAAGGTAATGGTGCTCCATTCAGTCATGCCAGCCACATGACTTTGGAGGTGTCTATGGACAACCCTGGATCTTCGGCTTAGAAATGGAGATGAGCACCAACCCCCAGAGTCAGACATGACTAGACTTAATGTCAAGGGGAAACCTCTACCTTTTACTGTTACTTGTGTCATTGAGTGCTGAGAGAAAGCTTCCTGACTTTTCTGTAGAAGTTCCTTGAGCACAAATGCCTCGAAGAAAAAGGGGTAAATAGCTTGCTCCTATGGTTTAGCAGATCATTCATGATGCAGATGGAGTTTTTGGATGCCCACCACTGCGTGAAGCACTCCTGTATTTTGATAAGAATGTATCTTACCTGTGTGCAGTACTTTATTCTTTCCAGAATGGTAGAGAAATTGGGCCGGTATTCAGGGCTGTGCTGCCAACACTGTGTCATAATCCGATAACTTGTAGGAATAATATATATTAAAAAATCTATCAGCATCAAAAGTTGAGGATTTGAAAATCTCTTAATTACATTTTCCTTCTTTTGAGCAGTTGAGTTCTGAGCTCTGGTTTTTGAGCTTTAACCAGGATATGTCTAGGGACCATTTCACACTACCCAGTTCTTGCACTGTGATTCTACTTGAATTGTCCTATGTTGACCTGGAATTTCCAGTCTAAGGAGAGGTACTTAAATTTCTCAGCCAGAATGTTCTAGTTTCTCACCAAGCTATATGGCCATAACTGCAGCCATAGCAGTTAAGTGGAATCACAGCACGAAAAACTATATAACACAGATGTGCTTAATGACAAGGTCCTAACCTGGATTTGGAAGTTTGCCAGCCAGTACCAGATAGGATTAAAGTCCCTTCCAAAAATGTTTGCAACTTTTATGTGCTTTTGGACCTGTCACTCAAATCTGTCACTCCAAATGACAGTCCTATCAATTTTGGGCCAGGTGCCAGCTGTGACACTCCTTAGAGATGGAGAATCTAAAAATGTTAATACTAGTAGCCTCAAAGTTGGATTTTGCAATGCACTGAATATTGATCTAGAGGGAGAGGTGGGTAGAAATGATGATGATGGCTGGAATCCTATTGGGCAGCTAAGAGTGTGCAAAAGAGGTTTATTCACTCATGATGGTTTCATATTTATAATCTCTATGTTGCCCCTAAATTAGGGTCTAATGTAAGGACTATGAAAGTCCTCCAATCTCCACTTGCCAGGGAGGAAATGTTGTAGTTGACAGGGATCTGTTCTCCTGTCAAATGGGAACCAATTGATGGTCTAATGCTCCCTTATCCAAGATATCCCTGTCATAAGGGAAAATGGAAACAGGTCCTCCTTCTGCCTGTCACACCAGAGATCACTCATGGATGTAGTGAGACCATTAGTTGCTTCCTGATCAACTGCGGAACAGACTCTTGTCAATCACAGTGGCTGCTTCTCAATACATGCAGACTAGGAGTATTGAGTTACTATTGCTATATACATAAATCTCCAATAAGATTCTGCCTCTTAGTCTGGAGGTAAAAATGGTGGAAGTCCACTTATAGTCAGCAAATTGCCAGTTAAATGAAAAGTGGACAATTTTAATTTTTTTAAAATAGGAGCTGAATAAAACCTAGAACTTGAAACCTACTAAGATAGCCTTCATTCTACTCCCAAGTGTCATTTAAATCAAGAATGCTATTAAGAGAAAGAGGGGGCTGTTTTTTTCTATGGAAACTGACACAATACAGTTTCTGCAACATGTGTAGGTGGTGAATTCCGACATTTGTCAATCACCAGATTTTAAAAAAAAATCTCAGTGTACACAGTCATGTACTATCTGAAGTCACCACAATGTTTTTCTCATTGATGGGAGCTGTTGCGTCTATAAATACTTCAGGACCTCCCACTGTCCACACAGAAGAAGAATGAAACTGTACTTACACAGGCCCTGGGCAGTTCTTTGGGGGATCCATTCGTCCACCACTGGTGACAAATTCTAGTACTTCCTGGTTGGTTTTGCAAGGATAAGGCATGTAGCCCAAGGAGAAGATCTCCCACAGCAACACTCCAAAGGACCTAGCAGAGAAACAGTGAATGCAGCTCATGGGTTTTGGTTGACACCACAATAGTTTTATGTAGCACACGCAAGTATATTGCTCACTCCTTTGATTTTGTGGTCAACATTAATATGTTGGTCTGATCTTGTTGTTCTTGTTGTTGTCCTTCAAGTCATTTTCAAACTTAGTGACCTTAAGGCAACTCCATAATAGGTTTTTCTTGGCAGGAAAGGTTTGTCATTACCTTTCACTGAGGTTGAGAAAGTGTGACTTGTTCAAGGTCACCCAGTGGATTTTATATTCAAATAGGGATTCAACCCTGGGCTCAAAAGTCACCATCCAGGGCTCAAACCTTTACTCCATGTTGGTTCTTGTCTGATCTTTACTGTCCCGATCGCTCTTTATAGCTTCTTCTCTCCGCCCCCCCCCCTACTTTGTTAGTGGAATCCAGAAACACACAGACGAGGGTGAAAGCACCATTTTAAAAAAGAAAGGCAATGCCCAAATTTCTCAATACTCAGATCGATGAAGTGACTGGAGCAATGATCCGATGAAGACAAGTGACATTATTGGTGGGATCTAATTTATGCATTGGTCTTCAGAGTGCTATTGAAGGAGTCATCTGAACTTTCAGGCCAGGGTCTTGAAGAAGATGCTGGTTAGACACAGTTTCCTCAGCAACAACCTTGCACTTCCAAGCAAATTTGGCATTGTTTTGAAATTCAGTGGATTTGCTTCAAAATACATTGGAAGCTGCTCGATTTCAAGTCAAACCACAGGCCAATTTATCTCAACCTGCTGCCTTTCAGATATATATATTTAAAATTACAATTCCCATCAGCCCCAACCACCATGACCCACAGTCTACAATGGAGGGAGTTGCAGTTAGAAAGTCACCAGGTTCGAAAAGATTGCTACAGGACTTGTCTGCATTGACTGACTGTCTCCAGAAAAGGAATCTAGCTGGGGATACCAAAGATTAAACTTGGGAAATTTTACATACAAAGCATATATCCTACCATTGAGCTGTGGCTGTCTTCAAACATGAAAAGAATCAAGGGCAAGAACTCCCCCTCCCAAAGGTAACTGCAACAATGATTCTTGTCAGCAGGCATATATATTACTAGCTGTCCCCTGCCACGCATCGCTGTGGCCCAGTCTGTGTATATGTATTTTGTGTATGTATATATTTGTGTGTATGTGTTTTGGTGTGTATATATGTGTGTGTGTGTGTGTATGTGTGTATATATTTGTGTATTTCTGTGTTTATATGTGAATATGTGTGTGCTTGTGTTTATGCATATATGTGTGTATATATATGTGTATGTATGTGTATATGTGTGTGTGTATGTGTATATATGTGTGTGCTTGTGTAAATATATGTGTGTATCTGTATGTATGTATGCATGTGCATATGTATATGAATGTAAGTGTATATGTATATATGGTTTATTTTGGGGGGATTTTAAAGTCTGGTCTGCTGGGTTGTTTTGTGTGTTTTTAGTGGTGGTGGTCACTTTTTGGCCTGATAGGTTTATTGTGTCCAAATTTGGTGTCAATTTGCCCTGTGGTTTTTGTGTTATGTTAATTCCACTAACGAACATTACATTTTTATTTATATAGATTTTCATCCTGGGGATCCAAGCACTGTAACTAGGGTTGCTGTATATATTTGTGTTAAAAGCCACCCTCGTGTTTAAGTCAAGGACAAGTTTTGGAGCCAAAGTTATAGATTTTAATATGACCTATTACATTGCCCTCATATTCTGCTGCTTGCTATCAAAAATACCTGTAGACTGTGGTAGAGGAGAGTGGATGAGCTATCTGGCAGCCTGTGCATGCACCCAAAGAATGCTGGGACACAGAACTCACGTATACACCGGCCATAGTTTTCCATCTTACTTTATACACATATATGGGAGTGCGTCTTACTCAACTCGGTGCGAACACTCCCAAGCAATTTTAAACATGCCTGTGTGGTGAAAGGCACTTACCAAGTGTCAGTCTTGGAAGTGAAGATGCCTTCCAGGAATGCCTCTGGGGGCATCCACTTGACGGGAAGCATGGCTCGCCCTCCTTTGCGATAGTAGCTTGCCCTAGCAAGGCCAGAGGGAAAGGAGAGTTAAGGCCAGAAAATAGTAGGCAGGCATTAAGAAAGAAAGGAAAGGACAACTTCCAGAATGTTTACCAGAAATGTAATTAACAGAAACAGAAGGAGAAAAACAGAAACTTCCTTCAGACCACACCTTTTGTCTTTTCCACTTTTTGTTGTGTTATAACCTTGAACTGAAATTGATTCAGTTGGGATTGTTACTATTTCATACTCAACACCGAGAAATAATAAAATAAATTTCCTGGATCACAAATCTTAAACAAAGTGCTATTTTTTGAGTGCACAACTACCTCCCCTCCCCGAGTTATTAGTTGGTAGAAAAGGCTTTGGGAGCTGATTTATCTATTAATCTTCTTGGGCAAATTTCCTATGAGCTTTGTGCATCTGACCCCTGCATCCTTTGCCCATTCGTCTCGACAAAAACACTCCAGTTCTGTCAGGTTCAATCAATGGTTCCCAACCTTTGGTCCTCCAGGTGTTTTGGACTTCAACTTCCAGAAATCCTTTGTCATTTTGCCAGCTGTTAGGAATTGTGGAAGTTGATTTCCAAAACACATGGAGGACCAAAGGTTGGGAACCACTGGGTTAAATGAAGACCCTTGTGGAATAGAAGGCTTCCACATCTTTCCAAGGACACTCAAATGGGCTGAGATTTGGGATTTGTCCAGGAACATTTTAAGACACCCAGGGTCTGATTTTAAGCCACTTCAGGTTGACTAGCATATCACTTGGCTAAGTGTTCAAGGACATTGTCCTGCTTGAAGGTGAAACTCCACCTAGTCCCATGTCCTTTGCTGACTGAAACAAGTTTCACTCTAGAACTGCCCTGAATGTGGCTCCATCCATTGGATCCTGAACACTCTTCTAGTCCCTGTAAAGGAAAAGCATCCCACAACATGCTTCACTGGGGGACAAATATCTTCAGAGTGATTACTGATGCTGGCTTTGCATTACATATAATGCTTAGCATCATAGCTGGAAACTTCATAGAATCATATGATCATAGAATTATAGAGTTGGAAGAGACCTGGTGGGCCATCCAGCCCAATCCCCTGCCAAGAAGCAGGAAAATCACATCCAAAGCAGCCCTGGAGCACCCCCGGAGCACTGTTCTCCAGACCCTTGATTATTTTCATCGCCCTCCTCTGGACACATTCCAGCTTGTCAACCTCTCCCTTCAATTGTGGTGCCCAGAACTGGACACAGTATTCCAGGTGTGGTCTAACCAAGGCAGAATAGAGGGGTAGCATGACTTCCCTGGATCTAGAAACTATACTCCGATTGGTCTAGACACTATACTCTAGATCTAGACACTATACTGCTATACTTCCATTCTCATCTGACCAGAAAGCCTATTGCCACTCACATATGTGCCTTTTTGCAAACTTCAAATAGGGCTTGGTAGCAACTTGTTTCAGCAATTGCTTTCTTTTCACCATTCTTCCATAACACTAAGCTTTGTGGCGAATCCAGATGATAGTTGTCCCATGAACACCCATCTCAAACTACTACAGAACTCCTTGTTTGCCTCTGCGAGTACTTCCTTCTTTAATCAATCACTGAGTTTTGGTGGGTGATCTTTTCTATGGAGAACCACAGTTTGCATTTTGTAATAATGGATTTCATGATGTGCCAGAAATTAAGCATATATATATATATATATATATATATATATATATATATCCCAAAACTGAGGGGTGCTTCTGTGGAATTTTATTCCAGAGTTGTTTTATGATACTGCTCATTTAGATAGGTTCTCTAACAAAATTGTGAAGCCTTCCAGAAACAGTTGTCTTTAATCTGGGATCATATTGGACTGAAATTGGACTCCATTCAACTGCATCTGTGACTTTTGAAGGTAAGGGGTTGCACACCAGAGCTCATTTAGGTGTGTCACAACAAAAAGGGTGAATAACTATGTAACTTTAAGTGCCTGTTTGTTTCTGTTCACATATTTTATGTTCTGAAATAAAATTATTTAGCACCTTCATAGTATTGAGTATCAAGTGGTAGTCAAATCCAAGTTTAGAATTGGCAAAGGTAGTTAAAATGTATCAAAGGAGTCGAAAAGCATATATTGAAGGATAGAGGAGGAAAAAAAGCCAGCAAAAGTCTTCACTTGGGTTCTTATTCAGTGCTTCTAAGCCATGCGCTAAATTCCATACAAAGAGATGAGAGCTTTTCATTCAGTTTTCCATTCTACTACACATTGCTATGATAGCTTACCTATAGATATCTCGAGCCATTCCAAAGTCACCAATTTTAGCTACTCGTCCAGGCGCCGTGCAAGTCAGAAGACAATTTCTTGCAGCTATATCCCTTAAAAAAAACAAACAAAACCCCATGGACATAAGATGAAAGCTAGTAATTTTGACTCTCAAGTGAGTACCTTCAACTTATAGAAATTCTCCAAGCATGAAAGCTGTCATCTATTAGTTCTGAAAGGACAGACCGTTCTGAATGCTAATTAGTTTAAATTTTATCATTCAAGTAGCATATATCATTAATGGATTCTGTGCCATAACATCACCAACTGCTAAATATTATCTAGAGCACAATATGAATTTATTTTTGAAAGCTACACCACTCCAGAGAGTCTCCAGATTCATTTATACTGCAGAATTAATGCAGTTTGACATTACTTTAACTTCTATGGCATCCTGGGAGTTGCAGAGGAAGACAAAGACTCCTTTGATTCCACAACATTAAGCCATGGCAGTTAAAGTGGGATCAAACTGCATGAATTATACAATGTAGATTCACTCCCTGACTCTGAATATTTTTTTCCCTGCAAGGTGACAGAGTGATGCTTGTATTCTCTGGCAGCCTGCAGCTATACAGAGCTATATGGAGTCACGCAAGAGGTAGTTCCCAAGATATTGTGGGTATATAAAGAGAGAACCAGTTAATGTCCAAATCCCAACTTAAAAAAGTTATTTGCCCACAGGCAGAGGCAGCACCCAGCTCACCCCTGGGAGAGAATTCCACAGCCATTGAGAAAACCTTTGTTTTATGTCCTCATCAAATATGTCTGTAGTGGTGATAGGACACACAGAAAGCTTTCCCCATAAGACATACAAACGTTAACACTTTTGTATGGAAAAATATGATATTCTGGATATAAGCCTTTATGAGACTTTATACGTCAAAACGAACCCTCTGAATTGTGTCTAGATTCATACAGGTTTTATAAAGAGGTAAAAGAAAAAGGGAATCTCCATTTTAGTGGTCACAGTGTATGAAATGATAACATGGCATATATTCTGTCACTAATCTCTACTAGAGTCGAACCACTAAATCAATTTTATTTACCTAGATCACAAATGAGGAAAGTATGGCTATGGGGAAAAAGCTGGGAAAAGCTGGCCCCTGGGTCTCGCACTAGTCGCCCACAGATTAACAACTGATTGGATAGGTCTACTTTAGACAATATTAACCAAAACCAAAAATATTTATTTATTTATTTATTTGTTTATTTATTATTTACAGTATTTGTACACTGCTTTTCTCACCCCTAAGGGGACTCAAAGCGGTTTATATGCAAGTAAATTCAATGCCAGTACAAACAATTACATTTATAAACTACAATTAAACATAAATCAAATTAAAAAATACATCCATAAGCAATAAAACAATAATTAAAACAATAAAACTATTATTATTATTATTATTATTATTATTATTATTATTATTAGTAGTAGTAGTAGTAGTAGCAGCAGCAGCATTGATTTATATCTCACCTTTCCTTCAATATTGGGGCACAAGAACCAGAAACTTTTTTATTAACAGCAAGACATTGGTTATTATATGTTTTTAATGGTTTTTGTATTGATTTTATAATGTTGTTTTAAATGTTTTAATTGTATATTGTGGATTGTTATGGCATCGAATGGTTGCCAATTTGTAAGCCATCTTGAGTTACCTTCAGGCTTGAGAAAGGTGGGATAGAAACATCATAAATAAACAAAGCAATACAAATAATTATTTTATTTGTATTGTTTTAAATATGTTGCTATTTGTATAGTGATAAGGATTTTTTTTCCTAAATCAATATTTTTAAATTAGTATTTTCCAGTTTGTGGTCTGTGTGCCTATATATGAAATTGTGCAAGAAACAGTAATGCATATTTTTTTTCTTTTCAATTGTACACCCCAAAAGGCAAGTAATGAAACACGTAACTGAGGGTGGGGGAATCTACAAAATGCATACACCAAGGAAAGACTACATTAATATGATTTGGAACTTGGATTGAGTTCCAATAGAAAAAGGCCCTATCATGTTTTTACATCCTCATCTATGGCTACAAGTAATGGAAAAAGAAAATGTCTTATGGTGCAACACTACCATCCTGTGGACAAGTAGAAGAACTTCAGATAGAAATCTACAGTTCTCAAGCAGTCTCTTTCCAGATCAGATGTTTACATCACTGCTTTATTCTGTTGCATGCCCCCCTCACATTTCAAAGATCAAAACTAGAACAAGCAGCCTTGGAATGTGGTCAAGAAGGATTAATTTATTTATGCAATGTCTATTATAAGAACATGAGCCTTCAATTACCATACTTGCAGCAAAATCAAAATCAAAACAAGTTTCTATTTAAAGATGGAACAATTCAAACCTGTCTTTGGAAATATAAACCATGTAGGGGTCATTCATCTATGATTTTCTGCAGATGAAAAATCCCCCAAAGGAAATGTTATATGGAGGTGTCTTTTTTTACCTATGAATGAAATGATTCTCCTCAAGATACTTGCAACCACAAGCGATATCCCTTGCTATGTCAAGCAAGTCCTGCATTGTCAAAGTAGATGGCTGATTCTGCATGAGATGCCAATAAGAAAGAAGAAAACAAAGATCATAAACCTAGAACAATGGGGGAAAACCCAAACTTAAAAAGTAAGTAAAATGGGAAAGAAACACAAGTAGGCAGCAAAAGAGCAAAGGAAACAATTATCTACAGGAGGTAGCCATAAAGATTTGTCTTCCAAGGCCAAAATCCCAATTTTTCCCATCCTCAAATCAATCTGCTAGCTATCTGTGAAAGCATGTAAGTACATGAGCATGTATGTACCTTAAAGGCTCCTACGTGGCTAGATGGATATGGACCAAACTTAGTACACACAACCTTCATTAGAATCAGTGGAATGGACTCTCAAAAGATTTCAGAGTAATTAGTATGCAGAGTTATGGTTTGATAATCTAGAGTTGGGGATCCATCACTGCTCTGCATTCAATAATAATATACAGTTTTACAAAAAGATTATGTAAATGCCTCCTTCCACTGCACCTTTACAGCCATAGTTATGTGACCCCTGAGCTTATGCGGGGAGGCTAATTTAACTAATTTACGACACCATAAAACCTTCCAGCAGTGTACGTAAGAATGAAGAAGTACTCCATCAAGGATTTGATGTCACAAGTGGACGGTGAAGCAGCAGCTCCCCCTGTGGCCAGAACTGAACATACCCTTGTGTAGCTGGAAAGCTGGAAATTGCCTCTGTGTCTGTCTATATATGTTGTATGTCTAATGGCATCGAATGTTTGCCATGTAATATTCTTGGCAGCTTTTAAGAAATACCTTAAAACCTGGCTCTTCTAATGTGCCTTTGGCAAATGAATATATATTCCACTCATAGTCTGTCCCTACTACAGCTCTGTCCTCATGATGCACCTCCCCCCTATTGAAGGTTTACCCCACTCTTTTGCCTTTTTGAGTCCCCCCCCCCCACAGAAACACACTCTCCCTTAGAAACATATTCTACCTATCTCATGCAGGGTTTTATCAATTTCTATCCATTTTTTCCCCAGTACATTTGGCCTGCCCACTGTGTCCCATTTTTATTTCATGTCATTTTGGAACTGTTTGTTTTATTTCATTATGTTATGTATTTATTTTGATGGTATTTTGCTTCTCTGTATTTTATTTTGCTGTATTTGTTTCTTATTTGTTGTAATTTTGGGCTTGGCCCAAGTCCCCTTTGGAGAGATGGTGGCGGGGTATAAATAAATTTATTTATTTATTATTAAATTCCCATATTTGAAAATGCTAAAGTGGAATGTTGATGGTTTAATCACCATCATGAACTGGGAACTTTACAACCTCACCCAGTGGCTTCTTGTAGATAGTGAAGAGAATAATAATAATAATAATAATAATAATAATAATAATAATAATAAATGTATTTATAGGTTGCCCTATCTCCCCAGGAGGACTCATGTGGATAAGATGGTGCCATGTGGCACCCCTCAGCTTTATAGCCAGGGAGCTGAACAGGATTTTTTTTCCAATGCTACTCTTTGGTCCTAGATAGGAATGGATTCACTATAAAAAGTGCCTTCTACCCTCATCATACAGAGCTTGTCGAATAAGATACCATAATTAACAGTATCAAGAGTCATTGAGGGATCAAGTTCAACAGGGTAGCATATCCCTGACTTTCCTCCAGAGCAACTAAGATAATTTGGAAATTTGGGAACTGAGGATGAATTGAATAAATGCATGTGTCATTTGCACCATCAATGACACAATGTATCATGAACAAAAAAAATCCACTGGAGCATGCCAATCCCCCATTTGCTTTCCTGCATTTGATGGAATTTTTCCCTACCCAAAGGCCTTAATCAAGTAGGACTGTGTTCTTGCCTCCTCTCACTCTTATCTTGTTCACATTCATACTCTAAGCACTGAAATTATCACTGGTGTGCTATGCTCTCAACTTTGTGACTCATTCTCCAGGTTTTAAAGACAAAAGGTAGTGATTTTGATTCAAGGAAGTCTTCTATCAATGGAAAAGCATGTAGTATATTTATTTGGTGGTTACTTATGTTTGCTGGTTACTTATCATTTTGTTTAATTTAATTAAATGCATTGCTTATAGTTTACACTGAGCCTTTATACACTGGCTGAGATCCTGTGCAACACCAGAGGAGCATCATGTGCACCTACAGGAAGGAATCCACCTGGTGCCACGGGGAGGAAGGCACCACTGTGTCCCCAAGCTGAACTGCCTTTAAGCTGCTTATTTTGCTATGGATGAATAGAGAATCACTTCCGTAAAGGCATAACTCCTTATACAACTGTGTAAAGAGTATATCTGCCTGAATAATCAAATGTTAAACCAATGTAATGCCCCAACAGAATTCCAGTCTATAAGTTAGTTGTCCAACAGAACTTGAGTCTAGTCTTCTGAATATCAAGCATCTACATTTTTTTCTCTTTTTCTTATAATCCTCCCTTCACATATTATAATCCTCTCTTTGCTTATTAAAAGAATGAATAACTACATTATACAGGCTCCTTCATGTGAAATTAATCAGCATAACAATAAACCCCTTGTCAACATGTTAGTAGACATCAGAACAGGGAAGCAGATGGAAACAAGGGTTGACTCACCACCCGAGGCCGGTTCTGCCGAAGGAAGCTTTTCATATCCCCACCAGTCATAAGCTCCAAAAGAATGAAGCGAGGCAAGGTTTGGAGGCTAACTCCAATGCATTGTACAATATTCTGGTGATTGAACTTGCTGGAGATTGTACATCACATCGTGGCATGGTAAAGAAGGAAAATCAGAATTATTGTTAGATACTGGCCAAGATCTGTGACTTCATCTGCTTAATTAAAGCCCCTTTCACACAGCTGAATAAAATCCCACATTATCTACTTTTCACTGAAATATATGGTAGTGTGGAGTCAGATAAACCTGTTCAAAGCAGATATTGTGGATTTTTTTGCCTTGATATCCTGGATTATATGGCTGTGTGGAAGGGCCCTAAGCCACACCATCTTTCAATATGAGCCAAGTCTAGAGCTTTTAGACCTGAGTGTTGCTACTGAAAATGGGTCCAAAGCCCCTTTGTTGTTGTATCCCTTCCATTTATTTCTGATCTATGTCAATTTATTTCTGAGCCATTAATTTAAGTGGGTGCTTTGAGCGTGCTAGGCTCTCATTACAACTATCTTATCAGAATCCTAAAGCCATGACCAATAACATCCTTTTTGAAAGCTGTCTTGCTTCTTAACTAGGACCTGGGAGGAGAAACAGATTAACCAAGGGCACAGTTTAACCTATGAGTTAGATTGCTAAATTATCCTTTAAACAAAGAAGAAAAGAAAACTTGTAGGGAGTTACTTAACCCCAGATACAGCATGTCACTGAATGTGGAGCACATGATGTTACTTTAACTTCCCAAGAGATCATCACTTTTATCTATCAGCACAGAAGCAGGGAAGAATTTTGCAACATTTACATTTTTAACAAGTCTCTTATGCAATAAGCTTTTGTGTGGGCAGAGCTAATGGACCCTTGTTCACAATAATACATGCTACAAATAATGTGTTAATCTTTAAGATGATATCAGTATATTCATTGCATCAGAATACTTCCAACTTAATGTTTTGCCCAGGAGTGTTCTTTTTTTTTTTTTAACAATTTAAGCGAGCAGATGTCACTTCCTAATCACTTCTTGTTCCAAAAATGGCTTCTCCTGCGCATGAATTGGCCCTGTGTCCCCCAAAACATGGTATGGATGGCCACAAGAGACCCTCAATGGCATTCAGGAATATTTGGGGGCATTAAAAAAGATAAATCAGCAACTTTTTATGCCTGGAGAGCCATGGGAGCCTTCAACTATTGTGGAAATCCACTCCACATGCTACTTTCTGAAGGACCAGAAATTACATTTGCTCCATCCTTTATGTGACAACCCCTCAGGAATTGGAAAGTGGATAAAGAGTGAAGTAGACAGTGAGATTAGACATGGCCAAATATTACCAGACAGAAAGACAGCAAGAATTGAGTAGCAGAGAAAGAAAAAAACAGAGAAGAGAAAATATGGAAGGGAAGAAATCTCGTGGCAGGAACCAACTGACTGTCTCAATTTTGGTTTTGATAAGGACATTTGCAATCACCAGTGAAAAAGGTTGGCACATTCAGCCTTATACAAAATAACTATAGACACTTCTACTATATTACTGTTCACTCTAAGGACCATGGATGAGGTCCAGTGTTGCGATTCACCAGCTTCAGTAGCAAATTGGGGAGGTAGTGGGGTAATCCTTGCATCCTAACTGGCAGCCAACTCTTCCCCATCACATGTGGGAAGCATCGTAGTGCGTCTTAATCCCATGGTAGCCACAGTGTTCCTAATGGAACACAGGGAGCCTATTGTGTTGGAGTGCTGCATCCTACCACACTGCTACCCCAGTTCACTCATGGAGCTCCTGGTGGAAGTCAGCCTATATCATCTGGTGGATGACATGGGGCTCCATGTGTGCACTGGGGCTGAAGAATCCTAAGATGCTTATTTTTTCATGTGTGATGAGGTCAAAAGTCCAAATCATTTCACTCAGTTGTGTTTTCCACATAACCTACACCTTTATTTATTTATTATTATTTACAACACTTTTATCCCACCTTTTTCTGCCTGAAGATGACTCAGGGAGGTGTACAGATTGGTACATAGACAACAAATACAAGGAGCACAACCCCCATAACAGTCAAGCTTTCTTATGGTTCATTTGTGAGTAGGAGTAGCTAATAACTCAAACATATTAAGAGGTATCTGCAGGGCAGATTTTTTTAAAAAACACAGTGTGAAGTGAAACCTCTTTTGCCCATGACTGTCACTCCAAGCTTCATCAGCTTAAGAGGAGGGCAGACAGTTGTCATCTGTTTGGTCCCAGCAGCTTGTCTGAGCTGGAAGGTGGGAGGATGCAACCTCCCACAAATGTCTCCAGAAGAGTTTTTATTTCAAACATGAGTAATTAGCGTTGATCAGCCTAGCCGTAAATCATGTACCATCGCATAGTTACTAGATATTTGGATGTACAAAACTTACAAGAAACTTTACAAGCCTCGATTTTTTGTAGGCAAAGGAGAAAACAAAGGTGAAGCTTATTTGGGGCACAGAAGCAGATTTCATCTTACAGGTCGAGTATCCATATCCAAAATGCTTGGGATCGGAAATGGGTTTTAAATTTTTTTGTTATACTTGCATTCGCATATATGCACATAATGAGATAAATGACCTCATCCGATGTGGGAAGAATTGGTGGCATACTCTACTTTGCCACCCCTTTAAGCACAGAGCACACCGGCTCCTATTACATGGGAGGCTTCCTGTGTTGCCTTGGATCAATGGGGGGAAGCCGAATGGTCAATGCTTTCCCCCTTGGGATCGCCCTGCCAATAAGCCGGGCAATGCGAGATGATGGGTTTCCCATGCCTTCAGATTCGTTACGTTGCGTCGTGATTCCGGTGGCCAGTGTGAAGAGGTCCATACTGCAGGAGGGACCCAAGACTAAATGCAAAATGTATTCATATTTCATATACACCTTATGCACATAGCCTGAAATATTTTACACACAATATTTTCAATATTTTTGTGCATGAAACAAAGTTTTGTGTATAATGAAAACAAAGGCGGCAATATTTCAGTAAACCACATGGACTATTTCAGATTTTGAAATATTTTAGAACCCTAGAAAAAGGATACTCTGCCTGTACTAAAAACATAGATTCTCTTTTGCATATTATCTAAATTCTATTGTGACGAACTGGCTGTGACCAAAGGTAAGGTTGGAGTCATAACACTCCCACCCCCATAGCTTGCTTAGTGAGACAACAAAGGCAGTCAGACTGGTAACCTTCATGGATGCATGAAATTATTCAGTCTGACATCACTCTAACTGCCATGGCTCAATGATATGGAATCTTTAGAGTTGTAGTTTTACAAGGTCTGTAGCCTTCTGTGCCAGAGAATCCTGGTGCGACACCAAATCAGAAATCCCAGGATTCCATTGTAATAAGCCATGGCAGTTAAACTGGTATCAAACTGCATTAACTTTCCAGTGTAGATGCACCTACTGCCTTCATGTGTGCAACTTAATACTGCAATGGTATGACTAACATGGAGAGACAATCCAGTCATGGGCTCTTACCCACAGTATCTTCCAAATGAAAATAAACAAATGAAACACACCTGATTATCAGTGCTTCCATTAGGAAATCCATCTCGTCCTGCTCAGAACATATTTCAGGCAATGTCTGTTAATAGGGAAAAAAAATCTGAATTCGGCACAAAATAATTCAGAATAACTGGCATGAGTGAACAAAAAGATGGACTGATCTTTTATTCAAATATCTCTTTGGGAGTGTTGTGATCTGCTTCCCCACTTTATTGAAAAATGAAGCCCAAAAACGGCTCCAAGGCAAAATAGGAAATTCAAATACAACAACAAAGTGGCATAAAAACCAAATCCTTAAAAATAAAACAATCATAATCTTGAAGTATCTGACACTATAGGCAATACATAGAGCCTTATTATCTGCAACAACCTCTCTTCCCATCCAAAGAGGGTTGTATTTCAGGTGAATGTTCTCTGGTTTTTCTGAGTGGGAATGATTGCTGGGAAGGAGGAAGAGAGAGACAGCAAGCGGGGGTAGAATATATATATTTTCAAGTGGGTTTTCAGAGAGCATTGATGCTCACCCACACAAAGACTAGCTACAAGCTGTCTCTACATGATTAGAACCAGAGAAAAGAAAGAAAAGGAAAAGAAATATTCTGCTAGTTTAGTCTATAGCTCAGGAACTGGCTGACCTCTCATGTGAGTGCTCACAAAGCTCAGTGGGTTTCCTGCTCCTCTTCTCTTACCAATTTCTCATTTCATTCAGAAGTAGATAATTTGCCAGTAAGAGAGAGCCTGGCACTCTTTCAGCAAAATCCTTCCCCCGAGAATCTCCTTCTCTGAAGGAGACATGCACGGAGTTGCCTTTCCAATGGGAGCTGCTGGTTCTGAGGTCAGTAGGAAAAGTGAATCTGAATTTAGTCTAAACTGTAAAGGAAAAGTAAAGAACTTCCCACCCAATTCATGAAGTTTAGCATTTTGTGTAGTTCCTTTAAAGTTTGGACTAAAAGCTAGAGCAGATTGACCTCTCCAATCACACTAAAGACACCAGCTGCCATTGGTTATTTCTTGCCAGAGATCTGGAGGGATTGGTGCCAACCCTCCTGATACTTAGTAGTAAAAGTTACCCTACGTGTCATAAAGTCGGATTGTCAGCTACGGCTTCTCATGTGGGGACATGAGAGAAGCCTCCCACAGGATGGACAAACATCTGGCATCCTCTGGGCAACATCCTTGCAGACAGCCAATTCGCTTACACCAGAAGTGACTTGCAGTTTATCAAGTCACTCCTGACATGGAAAACAAAAAGGCCAGACAAAAGCAGAGCTTAAAAGTAAGAAATTACATGTAATGAGAGTTACTAGCAGTTCACTTTTTAAAAGGCGAAAATGATGTCATGAAGGAACCTTTGAATAACAATTAGGAATGACATTAAAAAAAGGATGCAAATAATAGGTAACAGATCTTAATATTCGGAGAGTTCCTTCTAAATGGCATTTTAGATTTTCTTCTCAGCAAACATTGCATTTATTAATGAAATTCTATTCTATGATCAAATCTAGGTTTGCCCTAAAATAACGAGAAAGACAGTAAACAGCTTAATGTTAATTATAATTAGGTTGCTGTGAACTTTCTGGGCTGTATGGCCATGTTCCACATGCATTCTTGCCTGATGTTTCACCCACACCTATGGCAGGCATACTCAGAGGTTGAGAGGTCTGTTGGAAACTAGGCAAGTAAGGTTTATACATCTGTGGAATGTCCAGGGTGGGAGAAAGAACTCTTGTCTCCTTGAGGCAAATGTGAATGTTGCAATTGACCACCTTGATTAGCATTTAATGGCCTTGCAGCTTCAAACCTGAGAAGTCAGCCATAGCAGAGCACCTGATGAACCAATCTGGACACAGCATATTATCTGAGAACACAGAAATGCTGGACCACTCTAATAACTACCATGTCAGGCTAAACAGAGAAGTCTCTGAAATCCACAAGCATGTGGACAGTTTCAAGAGAAAGGAGGAAACCATGAAAATGAACAAAATCTGGCTGCCAATATTAAAAAGACCTCTAAAATCAGGACAGTAAATAAAGAGGAACACTAAAAATATGGGAATACCAGACAAGAATCAATCAGGGCCAGTTAATACCTGCCAACAAAGGATCCCCCCAAGCAGCAACCAGCCAGGCATTGAAACTTGCAAGGCCATTAAATGCTAATCAAGATGGCCAATTGCAACATTCACACTTGCTTCAAGCAGACAAGAGTTATTTCTCCCACCCTGGACATTCCACAGATATATAAACCCCACTGGCCTAGTTTCCAGCAGACCCCTCAACCTCTGAGGATGCCTGCCATAGATGTGGGTGAAATGTCAGGAGAGAATGCTTCTGGAACATGGCCATACAGCCCAGAAAACTCACAGCAACGCAGTAATTCTGGCCATGAAAGCCTTCGAAAACACATTAGAGTTAATTGTTTCCTTAACAAAGCTAAGAACTTTAAGCAAGGTATATGAACTGATTTTTAAAAAGTTACTTTCCCAGCTTTGAGGTAAAGGTCTTTCCAGAAACCTCCACCCCACACTGTAAGTTTCCTGAAAAACGTGGAAATGAAAAAAACATGGGGGTAATCTGCTAAACCCACTTTTTGATAGCCCTATTCAATATTGCTTTGTGTGTTTTGAACTAAAGTCATTTTGATGATCTTTTGAGCAGTTTTGCTTCAAACTATCTCATCAATCACTTACGATATTTAAATGATGGCCTGCTTGTTATTTTCTCCATTTTCAAATTGAAATAGGTGGCTCCCCTGGGTGTAGAATGTTCTCCATAAACAATTTTGTATGGCGTTGTTTTCAATGTCCTTTTTGAAGCCTGTCCTGTCTGCTCCGGACTTTTTTGTTTCCAATCTGTTATTTTTACTTGTATTTGTTCTTCTCCTTGTTGTGTATTTTAAAATGCTCCTGGTGTTATTACCATTTATCTGGGACTTGGATTGTTGTATTTATTGATTTGTATGCAAAAGAGAGAATTCTGAATAGATGTAGACACTAACCTTGATAGCCACTTGTAATGGACTATGATCTGCTGTGATTCCTACCACTGTTCCTTTGTAAACTTCACCAAATGCTCCATGTCCAAGTGCCCTGAAGCAACAAAGAGACAGAAATTATGCATAAATTTATGTACACCTTAGGTCTCCAAGGCATCACATTCAGAAGCTTCAGTAGGAAGGTCTAAAGAACATTCTCTGTGAGATATTTTGGGCTACTTGGTTACAAATAAAACACTGGGAAACAAACAAGTTTGCAGACAAGGGCTTTCAGCAATAACATCCTGAAAAACAATACAACACTCCGAATTCTCTCTCCTATGTTCCCAAACTATTTGTTTCCCGGACACATGCGAGTGTGGAGAAGAGCAAACCACTGGCCACCTGCTGCAATGCAACCTGAGCCCTGCCACATGCACAATGGAGGACCTTCTTGCGGCAACTCCAGAGGCACTCCAAGCGGCCAGCTACTGGTCAAAGGACATTTAATAGAATGCCAAGCTTGCAAACTTTGTGTTTTGTCTGTTTGTTTGTTTGTTTTGTTAAAAATGTAATACAACTATCTGGTTGCTCCTGACATGATAAATAAATAAATAAATAAATAAATATGGTAATTTCATATGTGTATAAGCATGTGCGCATGGGTAAGAAATTTGTCTTAGATTATTTTAGGGAATTACCATCAGCCGTTGAAGCAAACAGTCAAGTGCAAACCCTCTAACATATGACAAATGAAAACCATTGCATTTCATGGTGTCCAAGATCTATAGAGGCACACTCAACTTTCTGGCAAAATGGCTAATAGCACATTTCAGAGGATATGGGAACACAATCATCCATGGTAAATTTCAGCCCTCCTAACAGGGGCACTGGAGGCACAACAACAGCCTTGGAGGCCACATTTTGCTGCCTCAGAGTCTATTTTGTTTTCCATGGGTCTACAATTAGTGGGTCATATTATTCTAATTAAATAATTTCCTTTCTGGATATCACATAAAAGCACTATTGAATGCTTGTATAACAACCAGTTCCACACAATGGTGTTTTTAAGAGGGTGAGAGCTTAGGAGATGCTAATAAACAGTCTTTTCAGAAGACTTCTGTTTTCTGCTGGTCTAGAATAATTATATGAGACTCCGCTCCAGATGATTCCGGCCCAGCTTACTTGTCCAAACGTATCTCTTCTTATGAACCATCTAGGACTCTAAGATTGTCTGGGGCGGCCCTGCTCTCGGTCCTACCTTCTTTGCATATGCGTCTGGCGGGGACGAGAGACAGGGCCTTCTCAGTGGTGGCCCCTTGGCTGTGGAACACCCTCGCTAGGGATATTATATCAGCCCCCTCCCTCCTGACACTTAGTAAAAAAGTCAAAACCTGGCTTTTCGAGCAAACTTTCACAAATGCATTGTAACAGATAAATAAGGAACTATGGAACAGTTGGATGATGAGACTGGAAAATGATTTTAGTAAGGAGACGCTGATGACTTACATTTTTATTGATTTTGTATGGTTTTTATATTATATGCTAAATATTTTAAATTGTATTTTATGTCTGTTAGGGCATTGAATTGTTGCCCAATGTAACCCGCCTTGAGTCACCTTCGGGCTGAGAAAGGCAGTATACAAACATCGTTAATAAATATTGTAAATAAATTATTGACTTCCTATGTAAATGGAGGCAGCTTCTATGTGGTACCAATCAGCAAAATTATGGAGCCACTTCCATAGGCTGGATTCTAGTAACAACTTAACAAAATGAACAATATGGGTTAGGTGACTGATATAGTTGATCTTTTAATAATTTATGTTTTAATCATTTGGTTTTAATTGTAATTGTTTATTTGATACATGTATGGCATTGAATGGCCTGTTGTAAGGCCACCTTGAGTCCTCTCCGGGATGAGAAAGGCAAGATACAAATATGGTAAATAAATAAATAAATAATAGTTGCTTCCTATGCTGGGATGGTTACTCTCAATATAATGTGGGTAATGATAGTGAGATCAAAGAATGTTAATTATATTGAAGAGCATGGATAAAGAAAAGCAGTGGGAGGAAAGAATGGGAAGCCTTACAATTTAACTTGTGAAGACATTTTTGCTAAAATAAACCGCTTCAGGATATCTAACTAAAAAATGACATTCATGTATCTAAGGAACTTTTGCCATGGGAACATGCGTTGACAAGAGAAATGAGTGCTATCTTAGCTCAAAATAGACTATTTTCTTAAAATAGTATTTGAATTTAATGTTAACATTTGCCCAGGGGGCTTGGGAACATGGGACATATCTAGAACCAATGTGTCATTTGCAACTCGCCCACTGAAAATTTCACACACAATACTTATGTCAGATCTTGCTGATCCATAATTGGCCTTTTCAACAGACAGAGAGAAGAAGAAAAATCACACTATGTTTTCCAAAGAAACACTTCAAATTTGGAAAAGTATCAGAAGGAAACACAGACCTTGCAACCACTTGTTCGATCAGTCATGGACACAAATACCTCACACAAAATGTTGTTTTGCATTTGAAAATGAGTATCTAAGCTTTTAAAAGAGCAAGACTTTAATTGTGGTGGTTGTGAAGAACAATTTAACAACTGTAGATTTTAACCTCTTACCTCAAAGACAGCAATCCTGTCAATAGTTGAGTACAAATTCTAGTTCCTCTCTGTGATCACAATCTCCCTCCTTGTAGCCAAGCCTAAAGGAATGTCTCTACTCCTACTTGTTTATGTCCTGAAATCTTCTTTCATGGACTTTCTCCAAGGTTTACCATTATCAGAAATAAGGGAATGGCGACCAGGGAGAGAGCCTTTTTAATAAAGGCATTCTGAGGACAGAATTATTTTCCTTGAAAAACTTATTTGCATCTTATTTTGCTAACTTTGTCATGCCAGGAGGCTTGCCCGGTCCTTATATTGCTATGGTTTCCATGCTCGGTGTAGATATTTTCATTCTTAGATACCTTGTGTGTCCCTAACATTCTTCTTCTTCTAACCTATAGAAAAAAGATACCACATCTGAATTCTGCAGAGATATCCCTAAATAATATGTGACATAAAAGAAAGTATTCAGACTAAACAGTTGGCTGCGAGAACGAAAATCTGGTTTGCGAGCCTCCTCCTCCTTTCTTTATTTTATGTATTTTATTTCCACTCCCTTCATGCCACCTGCCTCTTCTTCCCTGTTGCTGACCATGGTGTATGTTCTGTATCAAAACTAGAGCTGATGTGGTCTATCCAATGCAATTTTCTGAATCAGCACCCCAAAAAAGTGGTCCCTGGCCAAGTGGTCCCTGGTCAAAGAAAGGTTGGGAACCATTGGACTAAATGAATGGTCTTCATGTAAGGCATAACTGAGTCCAATAATATAATAGAATGTTTCTAAACAAAGTATGTGCTATAGAATAAGTGCAAAAATCTAGACTTTTGGGTCACCACAGTGACTTCAGAGTCACAAGAATCAAAACAAAGCTGCCATTCTTTCCCATGTTGCTACCTCCTAAACCAGTCAAGAATGCATGGCCTTACCGAAGTAGGGAGATATTCTTCCGTGGGATCTCCTTGAGTTCACTGAGTGTGGCTGCCTTCCCTGCAAAGCTGTAGTTGGGGTTATAATCTGTCATGATGGTGGAAGTCCGGATTTTGCTCAGATTATATTCTGGGCTTTGCAGTCGGGCTCTGGCCCCTTCCAACTGCTGCTTCTTACGGTGATACACTGAAAAGATTGAGTACAGAAATAAAGAAGGGGCATAACCAACATCTGGAAAGAACAGAAGACAAATTAGGCAATGTAGAGAAAGGGACAATGAGCCCTTCCAGACAAGAAGGAAGTACCAAAAAGTACCAGGATCACATAACATTTCTTAAACCGCAAGTATTTCCTGAGAACTCACGGCTATATATAAGACTTTGAATGTATACTCTGCAATTTATGAGGAGGCCAAAACATTGGGTTGGATTCAGGCACATGCAGCTGAACCCCCAAAGCAGCTTTAAAGCTGCTTAAAAGATTAAATATAGAAGGGGGGGGACCCAATGATTGTGAGTAGGAAGATGGGGGTGGTGGATGCCTTGAAGATTTATACATAGGTAAGTACTTCTGTCCATCAAATGCAAATTCTGGTTCTAACTTTTTACCATAGATATATTCTGTCCTAGCTGTTTTACTACAGGTGGTATATTGCCTCTTTCGATTATAGACTGCCAAAACATGCCAAACTTTCCCTTCTTTTACCTGGATCTTTTTGAGCTACTTTTCTAATGGGAGACAGGAACAATGTGGGAGCCCAGTTCACTGGAAGTTTAAGCTCAGTCAGTACTCAAGAAATAACTTCACAAATTAATTTGTGAACTTCACAAAGGTCATCTTCACACTAGTAAGTTGCATTTGGCTTGACATATCTAAATTTGTTCAGCTAATATATTCTCTCCATTCTCCTTTAATTTTTAAGCCATGTGTTTTAGAATGTAAGCCTCCATTTACATTCTATGGCTTAGGATAATTTTCACAACACTTTATACAGTCAGACTTATTGTTATTTTTATCAACCCCACAACAATGCTCTGGTTTTGCATGACATTAAATTGCTCTTTGTTCTTTTGATGACTCTATGCCAGGCATGGGCAAACTTGGGCCCTCCAGGTATTTTGGAAAACACCTGGAGGATCCAAATTGGCCCATGCCTGCTCTATGCTATTCTCTTACACTTCGGTGGCTCAATCCAGAGATGACCTTCTACAAATAGAATCCAGAGATGGCCCATTTTGTTGCCAAAGGAAAACTGGATCCTGTTGGCTTAAGTCAGATATATATTATTGTAACTCACTTTGGGAAGGCATTTTGGAGGTTGGATTTTTGTTCTGACCATGTACCAACCAAAAACTCCACTGATTCACCTAGTAAGCAGTACAATCTCCTTTGTGTTCTTGAAAAGCAGAGGGACTCATTAGGGACATGACACTATTTTTCTGTAGTTGGAGATGCTGTGACAAGCCTCTGTAGTGAATGCTGGGGAGTCATCAGGAATGTTCAGCTACAGGAAATTGTTACATTGGCTGCAGTGTTTACAAGGTGGGTTTGGAAGGCAGCATTTTGAGACAGAAGCCTCATCTATACTGACTATTTTGGTCAGTGTGGGGTCAGATCAGCCAGGGGCGAAGGCCATTTAATGAGGCTGCATTCCGGGTTACAATGAACAAAGAGATTCAGAACTTTACCCAGTGGGAAAAATAACTTTGCTTTTAAAATTCATAAATGGGAAAACCAAATAAAAAAGCAGATGCCTAGTCTGAAGCACCCCCCAATTAAGGCAAGAGATTTTTAAGAAGTGGCAGAGAAAAAATAGCTATACCACTGCCTTTCTCCAGGGAAGCTCTGCTAAACACAAGAGTTTGGATCCAGCCTGTTATCATTCTAATGCTTTGTAGATTATTTTTGGATCCAATATTATTCTTCAACACTTTTACCAAGATGTGAACATATTAGACCAGTAGTTGTGTGAAACAGAGTGAATGCTTCTTACCAAATGATAGGCTGCCACAAGTGAGAGCCATCCCAAGCACCACTACAATAGCAATCACAGCCAGGAGAAGGGGAAGAGGCAAGCGTCCCTCCAAGATGGGTCCACGAAGCACTGGTCAGAACATTAAAATGAATACACATATATCATCATACACACACACCCCTGACTGGTTTTTCTGACACTTATGACTGTCTAAAATTAATCAGAGCCTGACTTTATTGAGTCTAGAGAAGACCTTTCCTGGCATGCAACCAGGCCCATAGCCAGGATTTTGTTTTGGCGGGGGGCTGAGTTTGGTTCAGGGGGGGCTGAGTCTGAGTGAAAGAGGGCCTGCCCTAGCAAACCTTTTGTATCATTACCCCAATACCCCCATGCATATGGGATATATTGAGCATGGTGATCAGATCATGATATGAATAAACATAACAGTTTAAATAATGCACCAGTAAGGCCTTTTCGCGAACCACCATGAGAATTTCGGGGGGGGAGGGGGGCTGAAGCCCCCCGAGGCCCCCCCCCCCCCGGCTACATGTTTCCTGGTGCTCGTTTTCAGAGTCATTAATCAGAATCATAACATCTTTGAATAGTTATTCTGGCTACTTGCCACATGAAGAAATTACATCTTTGTGTTCTGGAGTTTTCAACAACTGTGAAATGAACAACTATGAAAAGAAATAGGATTGTAAAAGAAATGGCACCAACAGTTCTTGATGTTTTAGTTCATGCATTGATCATGAAGCAGAATTAGGAATTCCTTATGGAATGATGTGCCCCTAAGGAGCATTTTAAACTAGAATATACGTGACACAATATATACTTTTATTTTATCTCTCTGAAGCTTGAACAGTATATCACAACACAAATAACTTCAAAATCTGCCAGTCTGCTACTGAGCACAATTCAAAGTGCTGGCTTTAGCCTATAAAGCCCTAAATGTTTCCGGCCCAGCTTACCTATCCAAATGCAACTCCCCTATGAACCAACCCGGAGATTAAGATCGCCTGGGGAGGCCCTGCTCTCAGTCCCGCCTCCTTCACAACATGACTGGTGGGAATGAGAGACTCCCCAGTGATATTAGATCAGCCCCCTCCCTCCTGGCTTTTAGAAAGAAAGTGAAAATGTGGCTTTTGGATCAAGCCTTCGGAGATAACTGTAATGCAATAGATGAATTGATGGGTACAGAATATGTGCAATGACTACTGGAATGGCCCCAGACTATGATTGTGGTTGGCATGGTTTTAATAGTGATTGTAATGTTTATAAATGTTTAATGTGTATTAATTTTAATGTAAATGTTTGTTTAACTGTATGTTGTTTTAAGGCATTGAATAGTTGCCTATATGTAAAGCCACCTTGAGTCATCTTTGGGGTTGAGAACGGTGGGTTATAAATATGGTAAATAAAATAAATAGATAAATATCTCAAAACAACAGCAGCTGAAATGAAATTAAGACATTCAGCCTAGGGACAGATAATTATATTAAATGGGTTCAATTTTGGAGAGTAAATATGGTCACTGGTAAAGTCTGGAGAAAAGCAAAAAAACAAAAAAAAACAACAAAATAAAACAAAACATTTTATTTTGTGAGAATGTTCCACATTTTACCTATGCATGAGACATTGTCACTGGCCAAGACAGTGTCATCCTGACAAATACAGATTGGCAAGTGGGTGTCAGGAGCTCGTTTGCAGAGGCCCGATTGGCAATGGTTGCAGTTTACATAGACTTCAATTATCACTTCCCCATGACTTTCTATCACTGCAGGAGAAAGAAATGGATAGAAAATGAAGTTTATTGTTACATTTCACATATACGGTGCAGCTGAAATCTACTAATGAGGAACAAATGTTCTTCATCAAAGGAAAAGGAAGGAGGGAAATGACTGAATGGTAACCATTCCCTCTTCCCATCCTCTTATCACTCCCTTACCTTCTACCAAAATTATCAGTATGCTTACTGGATATGATACTGATAGGTATTTGTGAAGAACTGAGAACATATAATTATTGAGGCAACTTTACATATCACACTATGCATGTAACAAACTCTTTGCACTGGCCACCTCAAAGCAGCCTTGCTTGGCAGTCCTTGGATGTTAGAGAAAGAACAAGTCTTGTCCTTAGCATTAAAAACAACAACAACAACGAGTCTTGTGACACTTGAGGATTACAGTAAAAAAACAAAACACTGGAGGACAGCCAATGAAATTCACTGGAAAAACAAGAAACACAACCTAAGATGCCCCAAGACGGTCTGTTTATTAGCTAGAAATCCCAACTTGTTTCAGCCTATGGATGCTCTTAAGGCCTTCTTCAGGAAAGCTTCAGAAATAAAAAAAGACTTAATGTCCCCAAGCCCTCTGATGCCTGTGAAAATGAACAGCAGCAGGAATAACAACAATAAAAGCCCCATAAAATACATGCACAAAGAAGGGACTATATTATCACCTGCCAAGGGACTCAAGAAGACCTCCCCGATTGGATTGACAAAAGAAACGCCGTCCTGCCCATCGGCTGTGATGTCATCTGTTTCAAAGGCATGGCCACCTAGGTGAAGAAGAAAGGATCAGTTTCATGTTTCCAAGAAAGACCATGGCAGCCCAGTGGACTCTCTATGCTGCTTATATCTTTCAACAGAGTTATTTGTTTGTTTGTTTCAGGGCTGGACAAATATAGGAGACATTTTGCATATAATAGCCCTCTATCTTTTCCTGCACGCAATCTCTTTTTCACTCCATTTATGGGATGTGGAGGTATTTTGGACCCCCTGGACAATTAGAAGGCACTTTGGGACATTTTGAGAGGGATTTTTTTTAAAAACCCAGAAAATGTTGTCTTTATTCCAAAGGTTTTACACAAACTTTAAACACATTGATCAATGTATAAAAATGCAGAACACTGCTGATTCTTGTAGAATGTGAACTTTTTATGAGTTTTTATGAGAAGCGGTGGCATCTGGATGGATGAATGAATAATTAACTAAATAAACAAAATCAATAAACAGCCTAGAATTATCAGGTCTTTAATAATCATATAAAGACAGTTCAGGGCCTTCCATAATGATGAGCCCTGCTCTTGTATGCAGTCAACCTAACAGAACGTTTAGGTAGAAGATATGAACCATGCTATGATTTGCATAGATCAGCGGTTCTCAACCTGGGGTCCCCAGGTGTTTCTGGCCTACAACTCCCAGAAATCCCAGCCAGTTTACCATCTGTTAGGATTTCTGGGAGTTGAAGGCCAAAAACATCTGGGGACCCCAGGTTGAGAACCACTGGCATAGATGAAAGAAGTCCCTCAAATAATCCAGTCCCGACCATTTAGGGATTTAAATGTAATATTTTGATTTGGGTCTGAAAACATAGTGACAACCAGTCTAGCTAGTTGATTTTAATTAACAGATGGATTTCATGGGATCATATTATTAGTATTTTTTTCCACTGGGCCCTTTAATAATGCAAGGCACTGCCCTTTCTACAATCAGCTGGAAACAAATACAGAAATGTGATTCATCTGTTCTAAATGTAGAACCATATTCTACCTTCTATTCTCACAGTTCCTGGTCAGCTTAAATGATAAGAATTATAATCAAATTCGTTGTAGTACTCTCAGTTTTGACTTTCTCAAAACACTATTCGGAGCACTCTGTTTTCATGTTTATTATAAACAAAAAAGAGACTGGAGGTATGTGTCATAAAATTTTATGTATGGTTTGAATGGAATTGTACGGAAGGTGTATGAATGGGCCTAATTGGGCTGAAGACACAATTCTAAAATATTGAAGCCTGGAAAACAACTACGCTCAGGAATTGTAATTAAAAGTCGCTGATGATAACTGTGACAAATGTTTTAACTGTTGACATGGCTGATCTGATGAACTTTTAGGGAAAAACAACATGTTTACATTATAAGAAACAATGATTTTTTAAGTTAAGGAAATGTTTACAAGATTCCTTATGTTAAAAAGGAAGTCAATACAAGGCTCCTTAAGTTTACCAACACTAATTAAGGAGAGTTAACATCTACAGGTACAGGGAGAAAGAATATGGTCATATTTGGATGGATGCATGAGAATTAATGAAAGTGTATGGGTAAGTGAATGCTGAGTAGACGTGGAATCCCCTTTCTTTGTTTGCTAGCCAGTGTAACTGTAGGTTGTTTGTGGACTCAATGTAGTTACATATAATCCGTATGTTCAATGTCATTCTTTGTGTAAAAGTTCTGATATCCCTTCTCTTACTGGAAAATTGCATTAAAAAGAACTTATGCTTTAAAGTTACTGAAAAGTTATTCATAACATTGGCACTGTTTGGGGGAAAGTAGAAATGCTGAAAGTTCTGACTGTAGGCACATATATTATTTTGTACTGCACTTTCTTGATATAACATTATCCGTTTCTTTCCTCTATTGGTCTTGTATGAACTTGACATACTACAATAGGCTAGTGTAATAAGCTTTGACATAAATGTAATAATGGTATCATTTGTTATGAAAATGTACCTTTGTAGCCTCCGCCACCACCTCCGGATGTGCAGGCTCCTCCACCTCCACCAAAACCACCTGAAGTGGCCCATTGAAGCTTTTGTAATGCTTGCGGGCAGGCCTCCCCACCTTCTCCACCTTCCAGAAGTGATTTCCCAGCCCAAGGGACCTGGGTGGCACCTTCCCAGCCTCCACCTCCACCTGTACAAGTTGAATGCAAAGGGCAGAAGTCACTAGAGGTCGAAACTTCATGCTTTTGACATATAGATGTAAGCATTTCAATTAATATATCACTTTGAGGGCACCCTGGTAGGCAAAAAAACATCATTGGAATTATGTGTATTTTGCAAACAAACAGATTGTCATAACTATTATGTACTACAAATATTCATTCATTCCTTTCCAGACCTCAAGTAACCTCAAAGTGATATGCAACAAAAATGAAAGGTTGTTTTAATTGCATAAGTATTTTAATTATAAAGAAACTCCACCATTACTACATTTTATAATATCCAAGAGCTTGATGTAGGAGACAAAATTGGATGTAGGTACCCCCCCCCCCCCCGCCCAAATTGTGGAATTCTATGATGGTCTTGCTTTTGAAATCAGTCTTTCTAGCTTTTCCCCTCTTAACATCAGATGACATTGGTTCTGTTGGATTACATCCCATTATGTATGCATTTTGATATTAGTTTCCCCCTGATCTCATTATAGTTTACATCTGGCTCAGTTGTAATTTTTAGGTAGCATTCTCCTTTCTGAGCCCAAAGTTTGTGTGGATCAGAGTCACTTTAGCACTTTAAGTTTTTATATCCCCCTCCCCGCTCCCAATATTAGCAGCTATCCAAAATATGCATGATTTCAGAGAGGCTTGTTTAGAAAATCTGCGGGTGTTGCTTGTCCAGCTGCTAAGCATATACAGGCAGTCCCAAGTTACAAACAAGATAGGTTATTTAGGTTTGCTCTTAAGCTGAATTTGTTTGTAAGTCAAAACAGGTACAATTTAAGTGTAACTCCTGCCCTATCTATCTATCTATCTATCTATCTATCTATCTATCTATCTATCTATCTATCTATCTAGTGAGAGAGCGTTTTGAATGTCACAGGGAAGAGTTAACATCCTGTGATGTTTGTTTTGCTGTTTTTGGCCCTTTTCAAGAGATTTGACTTTACTTTCTGTTCTTGTGATAAATGGATTTTGAAAAAAAATTGCTTGTTGTGGAAACAAGGATTGGGTATAAAGCTTCGGTGGAGACACCTTTTCCCCATGATAACGCCTTCAGGAGTGAATTTCCCTTCCAAGGGCTAGATTTCTCACACTTCCTGTTGTCTCAGTCCCGTTCTTAACTCTGAGTCATTTGTAAGTTGGATGTTTGTAACTCGAAGACTGCCTATTGTCTATTATCACCTTCACAACCTCACCTGCTGCCCCAGTTCTCCCACTGATTCCAGGTACTGCTGTGTCATTGACATACTGTTCCAAGAACTCATCATCATGGGAGCCTTCCTGGTATTTCATGTAAGCCTTCCCTCCACCTCCTGCCGCAATGAGCAAAGGTTCAAAAACGCCATTCTTCTTCTGTTTGAAAAGACACACAGATGTAAGCATGGTGCATTAAGAAATCACCAGAGGTTCAAAATTAGACTGCATTAGGATGACTGGTAAACACTCTCATCCTTCAACCATAGAATCATAGAATCCTAGAATTGGAAGAGACCTCATGGCCATCCAGTCCAACCCCCTGCCAGGAAGCAGGAAAATTGCATTCAAAACACCCCTGACAGATGGCCATCCAGTGTCTGCTTAAAAGCCTCCAAGAAAGGAGCCTTCACCACAGAAACTTTCTGCCATACAGAAACTTTTGAGAAATCTTCTATAGTGTTTTGGCCTACAACTCCCAGAAATCACAACAGTTTACCAGCTGTTAGGATTTCTGGGAGTTGAAGGCCAAAACATCTGGGAACTCACAGGTTGGGAACCACTGGTGTATCTTGTACACGAGGCCCTAAGCAAATCAGTAAAACTAGGGATAAGTAAAACATTATACAGTGAATTGGCCCCTGGTGTGCCTTGGTACCGTTGCTCTCAGCAGAATAGGTTTATGTCAATCTCAGTACAAAAACGCTACGGCTCCAAGATGAGTTGTTTTAGGCTTTTTAAAACAAGATTATGGGAAAAATTACTTTTAAGGTTACAAACCCCAGAATCCCCTCTCCAGCATGGTCAATCTGCTGGGAATTCTTGGGTTACACACCTCAGTTTTCTACCCAGCTCTGCTTAAAGCAGCCTCCCCATGGCTGCTACATATTCCAATGGCTACTTATACAGCTACTGCTAACTAGAGACTTGTCTTGAAGAGGTTGGAAAGAAAACGTGAAAACTTACCCGAAAGATGTAAGTGGCTCCTCCACCGCCACCCCCTCCTCCAGCCCATTCAGTGAGTCCTTTTTCTTTCTTGTATTCTTCTTCGATTTCTGATGATTCGCCCAGACAGATCTGCATCGTCTGAGAGTTGGCCTGGAAAACCGGAAGAAATGGAGATAGGAATAATTTATTTAAAACATTATTTTTAAGACCCGTCGCAAACTAGGTTCCTGCGGGAGAAAACCTTGCTAGCATGTCCCTGATGTCATGAGACTCCGCCTCTCGCCCCGCCCCTTTCTCCGCCCCTTTCTCTTTGCCAGCGTGGTTTTTCCTTTGCTAGGGCAGCATTGCCCGCATTTTCTCTCAGTTGGCAGAATTCAACTGAGAGAAAATGCGGGCAATGCTGCCCTAGCAAAGGAAAAACCACGCTGGCAAAGAGAAAGGGGCGGAGAAAGGGGCGGGGGGAGAGGCGCAGGCTCATGACGTCAGGGACATGCTAGCAAGGTTTTCTCCCGCAGGAACCTAGTTTGCGACGGCTCTTAAGGAAAACAAAACAAAGCATAGGAGTCCTGATCTGGCATTCTGTTCATGACACACAGGTAAAGAACACCTGAACTTTAGGAAGAACTTTCTGACTGTGAGAGCTGTTTAGGTACCCTGTTTAGTAGGCTTGGGTGGTTTCGTCGTTTCGTAATTCGTAATTCGTTATTAATTCGTATTTAAATTAGCTTACGATCCAATATTGAGCCATGCAGGACTACTGTGAGGAGTAATTAAAAATCGAAACAATTTTTCCAATTTATTTCGTATTGTTTCGTAATTGTTTCGTAATTGTTTCGAAATTGTTTCGAAATCGTTTCAAAATTGTTTTGAAATTGTTTCGTAATTATTTCCGTATGTCTGGTGCAAGTTTTATAGTTGTTGTTTGTTTTATCAGTGATAAAAAATAAATTGTCACACCAACAGTCAACAACAGAGGGAGAGGGAAGCTTCAGAAGTTTCCCCTGTCCCATTTGGAGGGTTTTTTAGCATATTGCGCAATCGCGTCTGCCATTAACGAATCAATTCGTAATTTTACGAAATTTCCTATATTTTGAACTTTTTTAAAGGAAAATTTCGGAATTCTTTAAAAAAACGAAACGCAAGGGCCCCCCTAAAAACGAAACGAGTTTAGAACCAAAATTTTCCGTGGTTACCCAAGCCTACTGTTTAGGTACCCTGCATGGCATGGGGGTTGAACTAGATGTCTCTCGTGTGCCTTCTAACTCTATGAGGCTATAATTGTATTCAAACTTAACAATTAAAAGGATCAGTATACTAAATCAAATGGCTTACTTATTTAATAAACTCATGACTGAAATTGTGAGACAACATCCACCTTACAATGGGCTTATCCAAACTGGAAAACTAGAAAGCTTTCTTTAAAACTCATCATGCTACTCATAGAAACAAAAAGACTTGAGAAAGAAAAAAAAAAGAAAGCCTGAAATGTATCAGAATTGCCAAATGTTGTTGGGATCTCAGAAATGGAAGCAATAGTTACAGGAGGAAAAATCATAATCTCCAGATACATTTGGCTATTCTAGGAGAGCTCACCATCACAACTGTTTCATATCAGTAACTACCATGGGATATGTAGTTTGGTGAGGGACTTAAAATTCTCCTCTAGAGAGCTCTTGTACTGTAGTTCAAAAGAGCACATTTGGCAATTCTAAGTACCTCATCAAACAACATATCCCATGACTCCAGAGGATGGAACCACGGAAGTTAACGTGGTATCAAACTGCTATAATAGCGAAGTACAAATGCTCCATTGTACAGTTGGGAAAAGCATATTATTATTGCAAATTGTTTTTTTTTATTTAGGTTTATTTGAACATGTGAGCCCCAACTGGTTTTAGTTTTGATATTTTTGATGTCTCTTTGTAGAGAATATCCAAATGCTCCTTAATGCATTCACAAAGGTCTTATGGGATCTGGATTTGATCACTAGACACTATGTTCTTTGTAAACAGACACTATTTTTAGTGCACCTTTGTTCAGAGCCAAACACATTGAGCTGATACACACAGGGAAAAATACTTAGGACTGAAACTAAGCAAAGTCCAATCTGGGACGAAACATGTTTGATGTGAAGTCTAGCAGTTTGATCCCTGCTCTTCATTTAATTATGATTGCTCCATTAAGGCAAATGAAATGAGGGGAAAAATTCCTTTGAACGCAATGGGGATTTGATCTTAACAGCAATCTTTCAGTGCTAGTGTGGGAATAACAGAAAAGACCTACATTTCCTTCTTAGAATATGCAATTAAATCTAAACTGCAGGTCAACATGGTTTTCTTGAAGGACAGTATGTGGTAGCTTGTTAAAGAAAATGAAAGGGGGGACCAAGCTGACAGGGCAATTTTGAATTCCAGAATCAATATTTTAAAACAGACATGCTGTGGCTATTTCTCCTTTTTGGAATTTTTATATAGGCATATTGTCATTGCAATATCCCGCGGCTATTTATACGTTTGAGTCCTCGGTGGCGCAGTGGGTTAAACCGCTGAGCTGCTGAACTTGCTGACTGAAAGGTCAACAGTTCAAATCTGGGGAGTGGAGTGAGCTCCTGCTGTTAGCCCCAACTTCTGCCAACCTAGAAGTTTGAAAACATGCAAATGTGAGTAGCTCAATAGGCACCGCTCTGGCTGGAAGGTAACAGTGCTCCATGCAGTCATGTTGGCCACATGACCTTGGAGGTGTCTGCGGAAAACACTGGCTCTTTGGCTTAGAAATGAAGATGAGCAACAACCCCCAGAGTTGGACATGACTAGACTTAATGTCAGGGGAAAACGTTTACATTTACCTATTTATACATTTAGCAATATCACACAAGAAGCTCTTCCTGGATTTTACCAATTTAGGAAGATAGACTCTCTTCCTTAAAAAAGGGAGATAGAATACACATTTCAGTAAAAAAAAAAATCCACCCACAGAATTCCATTTCAGATGTAGTAATTTAAAAATAAATCAATTTGGTATGCTCAAAAAACTGCTTGAGATGGAAAGTCAGCATCTTTGATGTTTGCAATCCAACAGAAACAGTTATGTTCCTTATGCTGCTTGTTGCTAGTCTGATGTGATCAACAGATTCAATACAAGAAGCAGAAGTAATATGAATGAATATCTCTTCTTGGGCCCCTTCCACACAGCTGAATAAAATCCCACATTATCTGTTTTCAACTGCAATATATGTCAGTGTGGACTCAGATAACCCAGTACAAAGCAGATATTGTGGGATTTTTCTGCCTTGATAGTTTGGGTTATATGCCTGTGTGGAAGGGCCATTAGAGATACAGTATATTCTGGCGTATAAGACTACTTTTTAACCCAAGAAAATCTTCTCAAAAGTCAGGGGTCGTCTTATATGCAGGTGTAGTCTTATGCATGGGAGTCATCTTAACTCTATATTTTAACTGGAAAAGTTGGGGGTCGTCTTATACGCCTAGTCGTCTTATATGCCGGAATATACGGTACTTTCTTTCCCATCTTGTTTTGATATTGTTGATTCATGGAATTACGCTAACCTAACTCACTCACTCCCATTGATTTATCTGGAATAATGGCACTTAGTGTGGACAGGGTCTATCTCTCACCCCCGGGCAGGCATCTTCTCCTTGTTGGCCCACTAAGATGTAGAGGAGTTCATCTTTCTCCAATTTGAAGATGGCCGAAATGAAGACCCCATGGGAGCGCTTGTTGTGGTTCTTGGCTCCTTTACCTCCAGCTGCTCCATATGCTGAAATCCTGGATAAAGAGCAGCAGAAATTAGACAGAAAGTCTACATAGCACAGCATCAAAGCAGCTATCGCTGGAAAGTCTTCATGGACACACCAGTGTGTTTCTACTTATAACAAAGCCTTTGAAGTGAATTCAACCAGGTACACTCAACATTCCCTACACATTAATCTTCAACATTCAGGGAACAGCAGAGCTTTAGAAAGTTATTGTTTGGATTGCAACTCCTAGAATTCAGGAGATATAGTAATGTTGACTGGGAATTATTGGGGTTGTAGCCCAAAAGGGATTTTTTTTCCACATTCTGGATGTGTGCTATCTTACAGGTTAAGTGCAAAAGTGGGAATACGGTAGCTTTCCAGATGTTGTTGGACTGCAATCCTTAAAAGCGCTAGTTTGCATAGTCAATAAAGAGGAATGCAGCTACTTGCAATCCAAAAACATCTTGAGATCCAGATGCTTTCCATCCTGGATTATTGTAAAGATCATCAACAAAATATATTCAAATTGTTTTAATATTTAAAACTGAGATGAGGGAATTGTAGCATTTTAAATGTGATTGGACTACAAGTCCAGTCATCCTAGTCACTGGCTCTCCTGGTTGGGGTTGATGGAAGATATAGTCTACTACATCTGGAAGTTAGAAGTTTTGCTCCCAGTTTCAAAACTGAGTGATTTTTTTTGTCAGTTGATAGCAAGGCAGAATAGGGAATTAGTGTATTGTCCACTCCACTGCTTAACAGTCTCCTGTCCTGAATTGACTTAGGTCTAATGATGTTTTTGGAATCCCTCTCCCCTTTTGTCCACTGGGACTTCAACATCCATGCTAAGCCTACTTTTTTGGGAGCGGCTCAGGACTTCAGGTACCACATGAGTGCTAGGAGTCTTTTCCAAAAAGAATCTGGCACCATTCATATTACACTCTGGATCTAGTGTTTTGTACTGGGTGATCCGGAGGTAGAATAACTTTCCAGAGTTTCACTGTCATAGACAGGTCATAACTTGATGTGTTTAAACTCACTGGGACTCAGAGTATCTGCAGGAGTAAGGACCAATTAAGATGTTCTACACTAAGAGGCTTATGGATTGGGATGTATTCCTGATGGTTCTTAGGGAATTTCTTGTTGCCTTAGCTGGTGATCCTGCTGAAGTCCTGGTTGACCTCTGGAACAGGGAAATGACTAGGACAGAGGACAAAATCACTCCCAAGTGTCACCTCCCATGAAGCAGAACCAAGCAATTCTATTTGGTAAACTGGTGGTAATAAGACAAGTGTGTTGGAGACTGGTGTTGACTGTGGAAAACTCAAGAGTAAATCTTATCAAATATTGCTTAGGGTCCATTTCAAAGTTTATGTTGTGGTGGTGATAACAAATAAATCTTCCTTTTCTGCCACCATTGCAGTGTTGTGCAGTGAAGCTGTCCTGAAGAGCCTGTCGCCTTTTATGTTCTATCTTCCTAGAGCAGAAGGTAGATTATGCAGAAGCCCAGTGCAAATAATTTTTGTGATACTTTGCAGACAAAATTGCTCAGATATACTCCAACTTGCATACTGTGGTTAATATTGGTCTAGTGAATGTAATCTTGGCTTCTGCTTGTCTTGTGTTATTTCATATATTTTAGTTTGAGCATCCTGAGAAGTGGGCAAAATCCTTGGAGAGATGAGAACTGTCATACACATACTAGATTCACACCCTTTTTGAGAAAAAAGTGATCTAGATTCATTTCAGGTTGACGTCAGACCTGGCTATGGGTTTGAGTCAGCTTAATTTGTCTTGACGGATGAAATATGTATGGAATTGTGTAGGGTGTGTATATGTTTCTTCAGCTGGGCTCTGGATGTTGATACCATTGAACATTTTTCTGGGCCACCTGTTTGGGATGAAACTCAAGAGCAAAATTCTACAGTGGTTCCAGTTCTAGATGGAAAGGTGGTTCTGGTGGGTGCCTGGTTTGCTCCCTGGACATTGGCATGTGGGATATCTTAAATGAACTGTATTTATAAAAATATTTTTCAAGAACCGCACCCATATTTTTTGGATCCTGGGCAAGGAGAAAGGCAGGGTATTTACCTACCTACCTACCTACCTACCTACCTACCTACCTACCTACCTACCTATCAAGCAAGCAAAATTACTATATGAAACTAACAAATTGGCAGTTATAATACCATCACCATACAATGACAATTACTCACATGTACTGCTTTGTTTCTGGTACTTTCCATATTTGTACTCCACGTAATGGCCCCTCTTTCTCAACAGTCACTGAAACATTGCTGTTATGATAGGCATTTTGACATTGTGCTTGAGTTGGCCCCTGAGGGCCACTGGCCCCACAGGATGAGAACCACCAAGGAACATCTGGGGCATCCCCTACAACCAGAAAAATATCCAGAATTATGACAAATCTGTCATCTATCTTTTGTTTCCTTCACTAGTTCAATATTAATAACATCAGACCATTGCAGCTAGGCAATACATTATCCTTAGGAAAAAATATCTGTTCCAGTTTCTCACTGGTTACAAAAGGGGATCATACGCTAGTAAATCTGATGGAAAATTAGCCAGAATAGAAAAAAATATTCTCACTAATAACATGGTTAGCATCAACAGCAATAGTTAGCTGCCAACTTTTTGAAGTTATGCTATGTAGATGTTTGTATAGCAGCCTTTTTGAAACACAGAAAGATACAGGAGATTTTGGCAAACTGGATTGGCAGCTAAGTAAAGCTTAACAAAGGGTAGATATTTTCTTTAGTATTCAGAAAAGTTGTAGCATCAACCTACGGCTATAGATCTCAGGCTCTGGTCTATAAGCATCTTTGCAAGGAAGATAAAGGAATTGTTATTTTGAGAGCTATGTATGAACTTCAAAACATTTCTGTCAAACAGATGAATCTCCAGATTGAGGTTATTCATGCATCTTTGATGATATAGTAAGCGGAATGGCTTATCATTTGTGATATTGTATAACTTTCTTCAGTGATTCTGCCTTCTACATTCCCTCTACGTTCAGACTAGCAGGACAATATCACTACTGCCATTGTTTTCCACACTGATTCCTTTGCACACAGTAAGGCTGGTGGTGCAAGCAATCATGTCCAACTGCGAGGGACTCTTCCTCAGAACCAAACACTGTGGGCAGAATGCTCCAGAAGACTACTTCTGTCGAATAGAAGACAACTAGCCTGTGTTTTCCTTTGCATATCCCTCATATCCCTCTTATGTTCATATCCCTCTTATAATTTCACCTTCCCTCATTATAAGGATATTTATTTATTTATTTATTTATTTATTTACTTCATTTGTTGACCGCCGCTCTCAGCCCTGGGGCGACTCGCGGCGGTGTACAACATGTAAAAAACAGTCTACAAAACATACAGTATATCAACAATCAAATTGCACATTAATCTAATCACACTAAAAAATCCGCGCCATCACATATAGAATCAATAGCCAATCTCATAGTCCGTAGTCCGTTCCAAGTGTCATTGCCAGATTCATGTGGCTCTCAATTAAATGCCTTCTCGAATAGCCAGGTCTTTAGGCTCTTACGAAAAGCCATGAGGGAGGGCGCCTGTCTGATGTCAACAGGGAGGGGGTTCCACAGCCGGGGGGCCACCACCGAGAAGGCCCTCTCTCTCGTCCCCGCCAGACGTGCCTGTGAGGCAGGCGGGATCGAGAGAAGGGCCTCCCCAGACGATCTCAAGGCCCTCGTGGGCTCATAGGCCGAGATGCGGTCCGAAAGGTATTTTGGGCCGGAACCGTTTAGGGCTTTGTAGGATAACACCAGCACCTTAAATTGGGCCCGGTAGCAGATCGGCAGCCAATGGAGCTGGGACAACAAGGGCGTTGTGTGCTCCCTGTGTCCCGCTCCCGTTAGTAACATGGCTGCCGCGCGCTGGACTAGCTGAAGCTTCCGGGCCGTCTTCAAGGGCAGCCCCACGTAGAGAGCGTTGCAGTAGTCAAGGCGGGATGTGACCAGAGCGTGTACCACCGTGGCCAAGTCAGACTTCCCGAGGTACGGGCGCAGCTGGCGCACGAGCCGAAGCTGTGCAAATGCTCCCCTGGTCACCGCTGAAACCTGGGGATCCAGGCTCAACGATGAATCCAGGATCACACCCAAGCTGCGAACCTGCGCCTTCAAGGGGAGTGCGACCCCATCCAGCACAGGCTGTAACCCTATGCCCCGTTCGGCCTTACGACTGACCAGGAGTACCTCTGTCTTGTCTGGATTTAATTTCAGTTTGTTCGCCCTCATCCAGACCATTACAGCGGCCAGGCACCGGTTCAGGACCTCGACAGCCTCCTTAGTAGCAGGTGGAAAGGAGTGACAGAGTTGGACATCATCTGCCTACAGATGACACCGCACCCCGAAACTCCGGATGATCTCACCCAGCGGCTTCATGTAGATATTAAACAGCATGGGGGACAGTATAGAACCCTGTGGAACCCCACAGGTCAAAGGCTGTGGTGTTGAACAGGAGTCCCCCAGTAACACCTTCTGGGTACGACCCTCCAGAAATGACTGGAGCCACTGCAGAGCAGTGCCCCCAAGACCCATTTCCGCAAGGCGCCCCAGAAGGATACCGTGGTCGACGGTATCGAAGGCCGCTGAGAGGTCCAGCAGCACCAACAGGGACACACTCCCCCTGTCTAGCTCCCGGCGCAGATCATCCACTAAGGCGACCAAGACCGTCTCGGTACCATGTCCCGGTCTGAAGCCAGACTGTGCCGGATCCAGATAATCCGTGTCTCTCAAGAATACCTGGAGTTGTGAGGCCACCACGCTTTCCATGACTTTGCCCAAAAAGGGGAGATTGGAAACCGGCCGAAAGTTGTCAAATTTAGTGGGGTCCAGTGATGGTTTCTTCAACAGCGGTTTTATAATTGCTTGTTTTAAGCACGCTGGAATCTTGCCTTCCCGAAGGGAGGCATTAACCACCACCGTTACCCACTCAGCCAATCCCCCTCTGGCCTCTTTCAGAAGCCAGGATGGGACAGGGGTCTAGGATGGACGTGGTAGGCCTCATTCCTCCAAGTATCTTGTCCACATCCTCGGGTTTCACAAACTGAAAAGAATCCAACAAAATAGGACAAGCAGGTGCTCGTGTTGAATGAAAGCAGAATGAAAGCAGAATGAAAGCAGAATGAAAGCAGAATGAAAGCAAATGCTTCACAGCGCGTGACCGAATTGTCAGGGCTCCCGCCTGAGGTGGCGGGAGTTAAAAGACCTCTGACAATCCGAAACAACTCCGCCGGACGGTTCTTTGCGGACGCAATAGTGGCTGCAAAGAAAGTTTTCTTTGCGGCTTTTATTGCCGCGGCGTATGCCCTTAAAAAAGGACACAAACCGTGTTCGATTTGGCTCGCTCGGATCCGACGCCACACGCTCTCTAGTTCCCTCTTCCTTCGCTTCATCACGGCCAGCTCCTCAGTAAACCAAGGAGCTGGTTTAGCTCGGCTACTTGAGAGGGGACGTTCTGGAGCGATCGTGTCTATTGCCCTGGTCATCTCCCCATTCCAGAGAGCGACCAGGGCATCGACAGGATCACCAACCGAGGCGGCGGGAAATTCCCCAAGAGCCATCAGGAATCCATCCGGATCCATAAGCCTCCTGGGGCGGACCAATTTAATGGGTCCTCCACCTTTGCGGAGGTTGGGGGGCGCAGTGAGCCTAAATCTGATCAGGAAGTGGTCAGTCCATGGCAACGGAGAGATAGACAACTCCTCCACACCGCCACCCTGCTCCCATCCCTGACAGAAAACCAAGTCCAATGTGTGTCCAGCACAATGAGTGGGGCCAGATATTTGTTGGGACAGCCCCATGGTTGCCATGGCAGACATGAAGTCCTGAGCCGCTCCTGTGAGGGTCGCCTCGGCATGGATATTGAAGTCTCCCAGCACCAAAAGCCGTTGAGACTCCAACGCCAGGCTCGAGACTACCCCCGCTAGCTCAGGTAGGGAGACTGTAGTGCAGCGAGGTGGACGGTACACTAAAAGAATCCCTATTCTGTCCCGGTCACCCACCCTTAGGTGGACGCATTCAAAATTTGTGGTCTGCGGGATGGGAAATATTGAGGAAAAGTTGCAAAGAAATGAGTCAGTCTAATCAACCCAGCTATTTTCTTCTTCTTCAGGACATTCTATGCAGTTTCTGAATTTTGGGAAGGTCTTTAGGAGTCTTTAACAGTTACTTTATCAAAAAGGCTACTGATCCTTCTTGTAGTCATAGTATCAGATTTAGCATCATTAACATATTAATGTTATCATGCTGAAATAATTTAATTGTAAGGTAATGATAAATTAGTACTGTGAATGGATTCACAATTGATAAAATGGTCACCTAAAGCAAGGGGTTCTTCTAATGGATTAAAGAGACGCTCATCCAATGTGTCAATGTCCAGTTGGTAATGTTGGTTTTCATCAGGATGGCTTTCTCTTCTTCCTGTCAGAATTTAAATATGAGTGAAAAGAAAAGAAAAAAAGATCAGGAGAGGAATCAGTTGGCTCCTTTTGCCAAGACATGAAACAAACGGAATGTGTGTGTGTGTGTGTGTGCGCATGTGTGCATGCTGTGATGCACACTCTATGCTACTATTTTGAACCAAGAGAAATTCAGGTGTGTTATTGTATACAGAATTGATATACGGTTTGGTTTACCAGATTGGGTCCAGAATGGGGCTCCAATAATGTCAATCCTTAATAGGTCACAGAGCATAACATGGCACCATAAAGTTCATCAAGCAGGATGAAGGCACCTGTCCTCCCTCATCTTCCAGTACCCAAACTTTCAGCTGTATTCATCTCCTCCCAACACAACTATGACCCCATGGGTGAACAGTGGTTATCCTTGTCCCTGAATATACACTCTAAACGTCCTGCTTCAAGATCAGCTAAGAATCAACGTTATTGAAATCCTGTTTCAGGTGTACAGTAGCTTCCGAAAAAGAGCCTATCAATTCACTGAGATCTTTAAGGGTGGCTTTGCTTCACAACCTTGAACATTCTAAAATGCCATTGGTTGCGAACCCACTACCGACTACCAAACTGAATAATCTAAGTTGAATAACCTATTTTTTTTCAAAATCTCATGAAGAGTTTTTGTTTTCAAATGGAGCTTGGCTTATCAAACTGTTGGCTGCATTTATACTCTCTGGGTTTTTGTGAATGTTCTAATCAGCTAAGTGCTTGGCTATTGTCGTTTAACTGCTAAAACATGCCACTTTTAAAAGGAACAGTACTGACTAAAAACATTGGCTTGGGCACAAAATTTTCTTTTCCACAAATGAAAGGACCCCTACTGTTCAGGGAAGGCTTTCAATCTAGGAAAGATTTATTCCAGCAAGAAGAGGAAGGAAGGGGGTCATTTAAATCAAATTTTCCTGTCTCCCGCAGTTCCCAACATTACGTTCACACCATTCTAAGGGATTTTCCAACCATAAACTACCAAAAAAATTAAAGAGAGAGAGAAAGAGATGTAGAGAGCTATAAAGGAAGGAAATACAGTTTGAGATCTCGGAGTTCGAACTCTCTTCTCTTGTCCTTAGGGCAAAGAGGAGGAATTGCACGGAGACAACATTGTCTTGGAAATGCTTTGGCTCTCTGTAACTACTGTCTTCTGTTCTGCTTGAAAAACTCTCTTTTAGATGAACTAATCTCCCAAGGGTTCTTCAAAACTGTGTTTTAAAAATTCGTCAAAAATGGAATGGGCAACAGTATGGTTTCTCCCTGTCATTGTTCAATGAAGAGCTAGGAAAATAAATTTTTATATCTAACCCAAAGATATTTTTATATCTCATGCTTAATAAAATAATCACAACCCATACCTGTAACATCAAATTATCTCTATATCTCAGACTTGGGCCTTGAAATCTCAGGGTCTGAGATGCTCCTGACCTGGCAACTCTACCATCAAAATAAGGATGACAGCTCAGGCAACATCCTTAGTACTTTCAAGCAGTATTTCTTTAATGATAGGAAAGTAGAATGTATAGAATATCTACATATGTTTTCGTACTTGGCTAGATTGAGTGTCCTGACAGCTTGGGGCAAATTTGTGAGAGCCACAATGAGAGATTTTTCACCACTACTTCATATTTCCCAGTTCCTAATCCATTATGAAACTTCATTGGCGGCAACCCCCCCCCCCCCCCACAAAACCTCATGAAGACAGGGCTGTAGCCAGGGCTGTTTAAGGGTTCTAACCCCCCCCCCCCAAACTGGTTTACTCAATAATTTTAACTGGTTATGAGTAAACCAGGTTTCTTTTTTAACCTGACACATTTCAGACCAGGGTTGAAGTTTTAACACCCCCCCCCCCCGGCTGTGGCCCTGCATGAAGGTTTGTTATGTGTTCAGAAACAGGGAGGTGCACTAAAACATTACATTTTGTACTAAAGTTATTTTATTTTGGTACAAAAAAATATATACCAGTTTTTTGCAAAATAAATCCTAAATTATGACAAATAATTGAAAATGTACAAAACATTTAGCAATCTTGTCCAAAAGGGATGTCTTTGTATGAAAAAAATGAATATTTCCATCCCAAAGGAAAAGTAATACAAGACAAACTATTTGTATTGTATTAAAACAATGCAAAATGCACCATTTCTGTAATATAATGCAGTGCAATATACATACACACATTTGCCTGTTGTAAAAAGCACAACTATCCAGAACAATTTTCCAAGGGTGGCTGCATAGACAGTTGTGGGGAAGGGGAGGATAAATTCGAGCAAGCAGAAACATCCCGTGACAAACTTCCATTTAATTGTAACTCTGGATCCAGCCCAGTGATACCAGAGTCGTAATGGGCATCCCAGTATTTCCTTTTATATTTGTGTTTAATTCAGTTTTGCTTGATTTTCAGTCTGCAGCAAGAAAGGGGGGGGGGGGGAGCATGACCTTTTAACTCTGCCTTATACCTACACAGCAGCTGTTTCCTGCCAGATGAACCAGTTCAATTCTAGCTGTGCAATTATCCTGAGCACGAAAACACTTAGAGATAATAACCTTGTTTCCCTCTCAGAGGCAATCTTGGCAGAGTCACCAATAAGCAATTGTTTCAGCATTTCAGCGAAGCAGAAATGACCTCTCTGGGGGTTAGGAATTATCCTGGGGTGAAGAGGGATGAAACAATAGTTCAGCAGATATGAGCTCTCCCCATGCTTATCAAGACCAGTGGATGAATGGGCTAAACAAAATCTTAATACAAAATAGATCTAAAGAGGTTCCTGGAATGCAGGAATATAAGAGGCCAACACAGGCTATAAACTGTGCCTTCGAGTCTGAGGATTGTAGAGACTAGATATGCATTTGATATGTATCCTATTAAAAATGAGCAAGGTTTGTTTGACTTCATAGGTGCCTTCAGGTGTTGGGATCCAAGTTACATCAATTCTAGCCAGCAGAGCCAATGTGATGGATGATGGGAGTTTCAGTTTGGCAACTTCTGAAGTGGCACATATCCCTGTGCTAGACTGTTGCTACATACGCTATATCCAATTGGTAGTGGAAAGTTCCAGTTTTTCCTATTGGGCAGTCCAGCCACCAACTATGATAAAAACTGAGATTAATGTAAAATAAACTAACTGGATAAAAGAAAAACCAAATATCGTTACTTTACATTGAGCACAAAGAGGTTCTTAGTCTTCTTGGCCTTCAATTGAATTTCTTAGGAAGCTACAGGTCATGAACTCCTTCTAGCTCAGCTGCTGACATCCAGAGATACACAATAAACCCAGTCACTTTCACAGGATGTGGAGGACTCAAGAAGAACACTGCCTCCGTCTGTATGATGCTTCAGTCTTTTGCACAGCAGCAACACAACCAGCTGTCCTCGGGCAGCTCTTCCTCTCCAAACAAACAGATCTTCCTCCTTTAACTCAATGGCCTGAAATCCATGTAGACTACATCTCTCTTTTGCTGTCACATTCTTGGCATCTGATAAGGATTGTGTTCCCATATCCATGAAGAATTCATTGGAATTCTGTGATTTTGCCATAAAAGAACCATAGCACCATATTAGTAGGTTTCAACCAAATAGCTGTGTTAGGGTTTTTTGCCACATAAAAAGGAGCAAGGAAAGAGGAAGGGGAGGATTAAAAAAAGAATGTGGCAGGACCTTTAAGACTAACCGGATTTTATTTTAGAATGAGCTTTTGCAGATATGAGCCCACTTCTTCAAATGGGCCACAGTGATATTAAATCCTCAGGTATAAAGTATATTTATAGTTATGGGAGTGAGTTGGAATGTCATAGGATCCAGAAATATGTTAATCATCTCCCTTTCCCTAAATTTTCAAAGAGCTGGATGAAGTGATACAGGTCTTCCAAATCTTTACAGTAGCAAGTTAATGTGTGGAAGGGGTACATCTGCTTACCAAAGTGAGATTCCGTTAGTTCAAAAAAGGAATGTTTATATGCTCTGCATCAAGCTGAATGCTAGAACTTTACCAAAGGAAAGTCAGTTGGGATGGAGTTAGATAGATAGAGCTAAGCCTACCCTACCTGAATGAGCTGTGTTTACCAGAGAAGACTACCTTGGTGAATCTTAAGCGCCTCCACAGATTACAAGATGTAGTGCAGTTACACAGTAAACCTGGTGCCTGCCAAGTGCTAATAATAGCACTAGGAAATATATTAGACAACTGAAGCAACAGCTTGATGGAATATGAAGGCAGAGATTCGAAAATAAGACAACTGTAAAGTAACCCAGGAGTAAGGAGACAGGTAGAATGGAGGGACATGGTTTCAAAGAAAACCTAGAAGAGCCACTGTATTTTTTAGTTTGTATGTTCTAGATACAAAAAATAATAATACTGGCATGGTTATTCAGAATCAGAGGACATTTTTACAAACTACTGAGTCTAGAAATTTTAGTAAAAAAAATGACATCAAAATTGTGTTGACTTATCCATGGGTAAATGTAAGTATAGGCAGCCCAAAGTTAAATTTATTTGTAAGTCGGAACAACTACATTTTTTCAGTGTAACTCCAGCCATATATATATATATATATATATATATATATATATATATATATATATATATATATACAGAGAGAGAGAGAGAGAGAGAGAGAGCAGATGGAAGGGTAACATCCCTGTGGTGTTTGTTTTGCTATCTGTGCCCTGTTCTGAAGATCTGACTTTACTTTCTGTCCTTGTGATAATTGGATTTTGAAAAATGTGGCTTGTTGTAGAAACAAGGATTGGTGAAGGAAGTTTAGTGGATACACCTTTTCCCCAAGATAACTCTTTCAAAAGTGGATTTCCCTTTCTAGGGGCAGATTTATCTCACTTCCTGTTGTCTCAGTCCTCTTCTTAGCTATGAATCCTCTGTAAGTCGGGTGTCTGTAATTCAGGGACTGCCTGGACTCTACTTTAACTCTCATCCAAAAAGTTACCATCTTGAATGGGAGTGACAAAAGGCAAAGACATAGTCCACTCTTTGAAAATCTGAAAAAAGCACCAACCTTCTCTGACATACTGCCACTTCCATCCTTTTTGAACGCCTGGGCAAGAGAGTGGCAATGGTGGTGGCTGGGGGCAGCTGTCACTGGCACTTTCTCCTCTCTGCGGAGAGACCCCAGACTTATCCATGGGTTATATATTAGTAGGTTTTAATTTTATGTTGTGATAATTGGTTATTGTACTTTGTCTATTGCTTATAATATTTTTGTATCTGTAGATTGTTGTAAGCCACCCTGAGTCCCTTTGGGGAGAATAAATACCACCCCCCCAAAAAACCCCTGCCCCCAACTTATTCATGAGTACCGTGTACACAATAGTTGCACAGTGTTGTGCCCAAGAAACTGGAATAAATTTCAGATCCTCAACATTAGACCTTTTTCAAATCACACAGCTGTATCCAATCCATATCTAATTTTGAAAGAAGGACAGCAAACTGAATAGCCAGAACAGGAAGAAATCAACATTTCCATCTCAGACAGAAGTAAAATATGCTTTCCTTCCTGCTCTGCTTCCTTTCTTCCTTCCCTTCCTTTTGTGAACAGTTCCAGCATAACCTCTTTGCCTGCCTATTAACTGGCTCTGCCAATGACATTCGAAACCTCTCCTGGCAAAGAGAGATGTAATTCTATTACCGAAAGCAAAGCAGAGCTGCTGGGCTTTTCCAAGATCTAATTGAATTAAAAGGATCTGATGATGAATGGAATGGCCTGTACTCGGAGGAAAAAAACAACAATGCTAGCTTACAGGAATTCAAGCAACAACAACAAAGCTGAGTTGCAAGATATGTAGATCCTTAGCTGGACAGCAGAGGTGGCCAATAGTCAGCCTAGGAAACACCCTTGCCTTCTCATTCATTTGTAAAGTTCATTTTTTTTAGAAATGGGGAATGCTACACTATGTAATAACATAGTGTAGTTTCTGTCTTAACTTGTTGTCAGTCCTGCGTTAAACAAAGCCAGTTTACATGCATTTTTTTTTCTTGAGATATTCACAGCTTCTGTCTCACTTTTGATAATACATTTCAGAAATTGATTTCCAACCATTTCCACAGAGCCTTCCTTATTATTATTATTCATAAGGAGCCCCTGGTGGCGCAGTGTGTTAAACCCCTGTGCTGGCAGGACTGAAGACCGACAGCTCCCTCTATCAGCTCCAGCTCTTCAGGCGGGGACATGAGAGAAGCCTCCCACAAGGATGATAAAAACATCAAATCATCCAGGCGTCCCCTGGGCAATGTCCTTGCAGACGGCCAATTCTCTCACACCAGAAGCGACTTGCTCTGACACAACAAAAAAAATTATTCATAAGGTTTATGCAATGTCCTAAAGCCCATTATTATTATTATTATTATTATTATTATTATTATTATTTAGCAATATCAAACTAGCTAAGCATTAGTGACCTGTGGAATCTGTCTCCTGAATACTAAAGCTATGGGGCAGCATTTGTTGCTAATTCTGGAATTCTGAAATAATACAAACAGACTGCCAAAGTGAATAAATCCCATTTCAGAAAAAAACAGATTCCTCATCTAGAATTCCAAAATTTGTAACTTTCTACGTGGGAGCATGAGATAGCAATACCTTTCCTTTCTGATGGTTCAGTGTACCCAAACTTTGCTACACATACAAAACTATTTAAAATATTGCGCATAAAATTATCTTCAGGCTACATAAATCTGGGACATAAATAAATTTTATGTTTAGACTTGGGTTCCACTGTGTGTGTGTGTGTGTTCATTCAAATAAAAGTATTCCAAAATCTGAAAAAAATCCAAAACATTTATTGTCCTAAAAATTTTGGATAAGGGACACTGGGTTAATTTTAATTGACCAAGAAGTAGGAAAGAAAAGTCCTTGATAATGCCAGTAGTTCCCAGGAAATGCTTTAGGATGAAGAAAATGTAATATGGATCTCCAAAAGAAAATCGGTCTATGCAAGTACTGACAACCTGGGATTGTTCAATACTTCTTTTCATCTAGAAAGGCTCTAAAATGGCTGCTGGGAAGTTCAAATTGGCCTCCTTTTCATTAGTAAAGTACTGGAGCATATGTCAAAATGTTCTAACCAAGTCAAATGATACGTGCTATTGGCTTTGAATCACAAAGGAATATGTTGTTCCGGGATGTCCACCTGGAATATAACACATCCATGCAGTTCTGGACACACGTTCTTGGACACTGGAGACAGACTTTAAACCAAGAGGGAGAGAGGAAACGCACAAACATTCTCACTCCTGTTGAACTGCATTTCACAAAACGCTTCTGATAGCCCTAAATGAGATGGCTGAGGAAAAACTCTCCTATAGTCTTGACGGAAGGCTATTAACACAAATTGTTCTCTGCAAGAGAAGTCATCTGGAGCCAGAGAAACAATAATGTGCCTGTTTGCTGTGATATACCACAGAAATTACTTGAAAAGATGTTCCATAAAGATTACAAAATTACGTAGTTTAGAAAAGCTACATTTTGAACAACTGCACCAATCTGTAGTCAACTTGTAGTCAAAACAATTTCTTTTCCAAGCTCCACAGAATTATTCTAAAATATGGAAAATGAGTAAGAGGTGATACTCAGAAAAGAACCAAGTCACTTTTAACACTACTGCGCACGATAGCATGTGAATCACTATCCCATGGTATTCCCATGATGCTAGAAAGTGTTACATACTCTCATTGTAATAGGCAATATTGCATAGCGGCTGGTGTTGCACAATTGTCACACCTCAGCATTGTGAAATTGCACTTACAGATAGTGTATATCTGCTTTCCTGTTGTACTGCTTCCCCTTCTTTTTCAGGGCAGAGGCGTGGGTGCTACCACACAAGCTAGGGGACCTCACCACACAAGGTAAGTCCTGAGATTATGATGTGACCAGGAGCAATTGACAGGCTTTGCTCATCAATAACCATGGATAGCTTCATTTTAGTGAGGTGGCTGAGTGGCAACCACATTATGCGATAAGGACCATCACCACAAGTCTGTTACTGTGCATTCAGCATCGAACTAATGATTCTCTGCCATCAACCTAGACTGTCGAAATGTCCAATCACCATCTCCCAAGGACATTACTTTACTCTCAGCTCAAGGATGGAAAACAGAAAGTCTGTGGTCAGCAAAAGAGGTTTAAAGATGGACTTAAAGCAAACCTAAAAATATGGAATAAATACTGAGAACTAGGAAACCCTAGTACTTGAGGGTTCTAACCAGAGGTCAGCTGTCATCAAAAGTGCTGTGGATTTAGAGGAGACATAAATAGAGAGAGAAAGGGAGAAATGTGCCAAGAGGAAGGCGCATCAAGCACACACTTGTCAGGACCACTTTCCACCTGGAAATGTATGTCCTCACTGTGAAATACCATGCATATCCAAAATAGGTCTCAACAGTCACTTATGGACTCACCACCAAGATTCTACCCCTAGAAGACAGTCATCCTCAGCCAGGAGTGTTAGTCTAAAACAGTGGTTCTCAACCTGTGGGTTCCAATATGTTTTGGCTTTCAACTCCCAGAAATCCTAACAGCTGGTAAACTGGCTGGGATTTCTGGGAGTTGTAGGCCAAAACACCTGGAGACCCATAGGCTGAGAATCACTGGTCTAAGATGATGATAATGATGTTACTGCTGATTCACCACATCCATGTGAAAAAGTCCTTTCTCTTGCATGCTGAGACCATAACACACATTCCTTATATTGCTTTACATGTTGGCTGCCTGTTAAACCTTCTTTAATCAGAAGCAACTCACCATTAGAGAAGCAATCTTGACCAAATGTAATATTGTCTACAGCAATGTCAGCTTGTGAATTCCAGCCCCAAGTTGCCACCAGCTTCAGGTGAAAGCTTTTCAACAAAGGATATGTTTGAAATGAAAGAGGGAGACAGATAAGGAGAGAACATATGAAAATATATTCATGTATTAAATACATATTAACCTACACATACATAAAATAGAATAAATATATTAATATATGATATTGTATTAATGAATGATATTAATATGTAATATATGAAATCTATTTTAAAATATTTAACTACCATATCTGAAGTTTAATAAAATATATGTGCAAATACATATGAAACTTCTGTTACTTCTTTATGATTACCCAAAGGTTAATTTCACAAATTATACAGTTTCACAAGTTTCACATTGAAGAAGAAAGCAATCACAAAAAGCAGACCTGCGAAACCGAGAGTGATTAAATCTTTTAAAAAATGCATGCTAGTTTTATAGGAATTTGCCATTATAAATTTAAAAATGACCTCCAATTTGTTCCTTCGTGTACAGTTGTTTTTCACAAGTCGCAGTAGCAATAGATGTATTATAATACATTAGCTGGCTTATCTAGAAGGACAGGAAAATCAATAATGCTTGGGATGAAGATGTTATTCTAAATACTCTTGCTAATTTAGTATGGCTAAAAATATATTATCCTACTAATAGGCAAAGTACATGTTAAATTAGCATCCAGAGTAAACATAGATCCTTAGGTTTACAATATTATTTGGGAATGTTTAAAAAAATAGCAAGACAGCTTCTGCAAGCAGAGAAGAAATTCCCTGTGATTTATGAGGGAATAGCATATTGACAGGAAGAACATGTTCTACTTATTATGTTATCAATGAGAAAATAATCCTGTTATAAATATATTGGAGAGACTTAAAATATATTACCATATATACTCAAGTATAAGTCAAGTTTTTCAATCCTTTTTTTAGGCTGAAAAAGCCCACCTCAGCTTATACTCAAGTCAAGGTTATTTATTATTTTACTCTGTTGTTGTTGTTGTTGTTGTGGTTGTTATTATTATTATTACATTTATTATTTTGCTCTATTTATTAGTATTATTACATTTACATTATCTATACTATTATTATATTACATTTATTATTTTACTCTACTTATTATTATATTTATTTTTCTCTATTATTGTTATTATTACATTTCTATTATTTTGCTCTATTATTGTTATTTTTATTACATTTATTAATTTACTCTCTATTATTATTGAAAGGATATGTAAGCACATTTACATTGAAGAAGATTAGAATAATGGTTTAATCAGAGTTGGACAGCCTTATCTTAAATTACAGTTTTATGTGAATATTCAAAAACATTTAACATATTGATGCCTCAATTAGTATAATTTTATTGGTATCTATTTTTATTTTGAAATTTACCATTAGCTGCTGCATTTCCCACCCTCGGCTTATACTCGGGTCAATACATTTTCCCAGTTCTTTTATGGTAAAATTAGGTGCCTCGGCTTATATTCAGGTCAGTTTATACTCAGGAATATACAGTGAGTATGCTGTGCAATGCCGTGCTGGGATTTCAAATGGAAAAAAGTTACCCGTGAATAAAATCTGGCAGGGCAGAAGAAGAGCAAGTAACCAGCATGGTGCTCAAGGAATGCCTCTTAACATAATGGGACGTTTTTCCATGAGATATTTTATGACACATTTTTAATTTCATGCCTCAACAGTCAGCAGACTTTGAAGAGTATTGGGGGGAAATGATACGGGAACTGGACTTTTTTTAGTGACTTCTGTTAGCACAACTTTGCCAGTCATATCCTTTGATGTGCCCAGCTATGCATGAACAAAAATCTCCCATGGACTGCATGCGTCAATGGTAGATCTGACATGCATCTCAATCTGACACACTGCACATGAGCTTGCTGTTATTGTGCAGCATGGAAAGAGGCACACCCTTTGGTCCCCAGGCTTCCAGCACAAATGCAAGGCCAGAGTTTTACATTTTGTGGTTATCCAATTAAACCCCAGCCTAGGATTTTGAATCTTTTTTTTTAACCTCAGCTCCATACAGCTCACGGTAGGAGCCCCAGTGGTGCAATGAGTTAAACCCTTGTGCCGGCAGGACTGAAGACTGACAGGTCAGAGGTTCTAATCCAGGGAGAGCACGTATGAGCTCACTCTGTCAGCTCCAGCTCCCCATGTGGGGACATGAGAGAAGCCTTCCACAAGGATGGTAAAACATCAAAACATTTGGGTGCCCCCTGAAAATGTCCTTGCTGACAGCCAATTCTCTCAAACCAGAAGCGACTTGCAGCTTCTCAAGTTGGTCATGATACACACACACACACACACACACACACACACACACACACACACAAAGCTCATGGTAGTCACAATGTTTGCTTTTGTTGTGTGCCTTTGAAATCATTTCTGACTTAAGGTGACCCTGTCCTGGAGTTTTCTTGGCAAGATTTGTTCAGAGTGGATTTACCACTTGCCTGCATTTGAGACTGAGATAATGTGACTTGACCAAGGCCACTAATTAAGTACCCATGGCCAAGTGGAAATTCAATCTGATTTCTACTCTAGGACTCAAGCCACTATGCCATGTTGGCTCTGATTCATAATATACCTATTGAAATGCAAAACAGAATTGAGCCCAAATTTAGCAAATGTTTCCAATCCCTGAAAAGACCAGCCTCTTTTCCAGCTGTTATGAGGGAGGAGGGATAAAATGACAGGAAGAAACATTCCCACTAGAATGGGAAAATGTATTCTCTTTGAGGACCCAGAGAAGAATTTATTCCCAGTTTTATGAATAAGCATTAAATTAGTGCAGCAGGATGATACAAAAGAGACAGAGCATGACTAGCTGCCAAGGCAATGAGGATGCCTTCCTTCCTTCCTTCCTTCCTTCCTTCCTTCCTTCCTTCCTTCCTTCCTTCCTTCCTTCCTTCCTTCCTTCCTTCCTTCCTTTCCTCCTTCCTTCCTTCCTTCCTTCCTTCCTTCCTTCCTTCCTTCCTTCCTTCCATCCATCCATCCATCCATCTCCTTCCTTCCTCCCTCTCATAAGACTGAGAACAACAAGTGGTCTTTGTATGACTACATGTAACTATGCTCTTTTGGCCAGTGTAGATGTGACCTTAGAAAGCTTATTAGGACAGTTTTTTTTTCTTTGTTACAACTTTGGAAAGTATCAGACTCAATGATGATACACAATATGTGTTGTCATGTTAATAATAATCAGTCCTTACCTGTTCTGAAGCCTTGGCATATCCAATGTTATAAGAAACCATTGATCACTCCAGCTCCCTGTCCTTTCCCACACCAGCGATGTAGCACTAGTTTCATTTGTCTGCTCTTGGACAATGAGTGAGATAGTGCCATTATAACTGCCAAAAATATATGCTGAGAACTGCACCTAAAGGGAAGAATTAGGGAGGAAGTCTCCATGAAAGTCTTTTGAATATATCTAGAACATTTGAAATTAATAGGTTTGGATTATAAGAATTTACTGAACTTTATACAGAAAGTTTCTATGTCCAGATATACTGAGGAAGAAATAAAAAATAATTCAGAAGCAATAACAATATGCTGGTTCAGAGCAAAGATCTATCTATTCCAGCATTCTGTTCACACAATGGTCAAAGAGTTGCCTATAGGAAGTTTCCCATCAGAATCTGTATGCAGCAATACCTACAACTCAATTTCCATTACCCAGTATCTGATCTACAGAGGTATATTGTATACAGCAGTGATTTCCAACCTGTGGTCCGTGGACCACAAGTGGTCCAAAAGAATGAAAATATGGTCCACAGCCTCACCATTACTACACTGTTGCCTCAAAACCATGAAGCAATGAGAGCACTGGTCTCGCAAAACCCTGTTACATTGCCAAGGGAATGGGGATGTCGTGAGGAAGAGGCTGACTACCCACGAAAGATTACTGCTACCACATCAGCTCTAGATGATTAAATATGGTTTTCTGTGGGCAAGTAGATGGCGGCTATTGCATGGCATATGTTCTGTATCAGAAATTAGAACTGATGTGGTCTATCCAATGCAATTTTCTGAATCAGTACCCCCAAATAACCAAACTGAATCTAAAGTTGACCAAAAACTGATTTGCAACCCTTTTGGTACTAATGTTGGAGAATGGTCCCTGGTCAATGTGGTCCCTGGTCAATGTGGTCCCTGTTCAAGTGGTCCCTGGTTGAAGTGGTCCTTGGTCAAGTGATACCTGGTCAAGTGGTTCCTGGTCAAAAAAGGCTGGGAACCACTGGTATACAGGCATTCCCTCGGGTTATTGACAAGATAGGTTGTGTAGGTTTGTTCTTAACTTGAATTTGAATGTAAGTTAGATCAGGTACATTTTAAGTGTAACTCCAGCTATTTTTTTAAAAAAGGTTTTAGATAGCATAGGGGAGGGTTAACAGCCCTGTAAAGTTTTTCTTGCTATCTGTGTTCCTCTTCGGAAGATTTCACTTTTCTGTCCCTGTAACAATTGCATTCAGAAAAAAATGGGTTGCCGTGGAAACAAAGATTGGTGAGAAAGCTTCAGTGGAAACACCTTCCCCCCATGATCACTCTTTCAGAAGTGAATTTTCTTCCCAAGGGGTAGATTTTCTCTCACTTTCAGTTGTCTCTTCCCTGTTTGTCACAAGGAATTGTATGTAAGTTGGACATCTGCAACTTGAGTACTGCCTGTACAGTAGAAGTATACTTCTGCTTTGGCTAATGCATACCTCCCAACAATTCTGATTTCCCAAAGATTAATTCTTTGTTACCCAATTATGTAGTTGCTTTTAAAATGTCATTTTTTCTCTTTTCCTCTCATTTCTCCCCTTGTTTGTTTCAGTTACTGTGAACTGGGTCCAAAATGTCCAAGTAATTTGCACTAAATTTGCTAAGCAGATGAGAGAGGACTGGAGGGTGTGGTGGATTCAGGCTAAGGAAAACTTCTGAAGCTTCTCCAAGCTTTTATATTCCTCCTCATTAATAGCTTTTATCCTCCCCGCCCCCGGTGCTGCAGTGGGTTAAACAGATGAGCTGCTGAACTTGCTGAATGAAAGGTTGGCAGTTCAGATCCTGGGAGTGGGGTGAGCTCCCGCTGTTAGCCCCAGCTTCTGCCAACTAAGCAGTTCAAAAACATGCAAATGTGAGTAGTTCAATAGGTACTGCTTCTGAGGGAAGATAACAGTGTGCCATGCAGTCATGCTGGCCACATGACTTTGGAGGTGTCAATGGACAATGCCGGCTCTTCAGCTTAGAAATGGAGATGAGCACCACCCCCTAGAGTCGGACACAACTAGACTTAATGTCAAGGGAAACCTTTACCTTTACTTTAATAGATTTTATCACCTTGGCCACAGTCTGATGTAGTTTGGCCACACATGTCCTGGTTTTCATTTGTGAAACACTGGACATTATGCTAGTTACCTCAAATTTCATGGAGGATGACTCTAATTTCTATCCATTTTCCTGGTTCCCTTTGAGATCCATCCAATTTGGCAGCCATTACTGCATCTTGTGGAAGTTAATCCCACAATTTAACAATTAAGTTACTGTCTGTCCTGAATCTCCAGCTACTCAGTGGATGTCTATGACTTTAATTTGTTTAATTTAATTTAATGTGTCTTAATATATTTAAAATATAAACAGAGAAGACCATATAGCTGCACGTCAGTCATTTGCGCAAGAAAAATGTAATTCCATGTACGCACACATTAGCCACTTCAGAGAGCTATGTGGTTCTCCTAAGTTACATATAACTTTCCTTACATGCTTATAACCAAGGGGTGCTCTGCTTGAGTGATTTTAAATGCATAATAAGGGTCTGAATTTTGTGATGCTGAAATAAAGTATTGAAACAGATTAAATCACCCACATTGGCTGTGACCACATGGAGAAAATGACTGAAGTGGACCAAACTGGTGCATTTCAAGATTTATGGTGTGGAACTGGCAATTTATTTCCCAAATGTGCCATTTTTGTGCTCATTTTGTGCTCATACAACCCCCCTCCCCCAGAAACTCATTACAGATCATCAGTCAATGGCCCACAACCTAGCATCAGTTAACACAGAACCACATATTGCTCTCTAGAGTTGATATCCAGAACCATAGTATCACATCTCATATAAAAGCCTATACTGAAATAAATTTGCCCCAAGACTCCTTCCATCTTATTATTCCAAGGTTGTGTGACTCTTTGATAAGAACTTGTGTGACCTTCATAGCTCACACACATTATTTCCCTGAGAATCAGGAGCAATTCTATGACCAACTTCTGATGGAAGTTGATCAGAGTCATGCTGGAGAACCCAAGGATTCCTAGAAAGGTGTTCTGTCGGGTAAAAAAACCCAGTGTTCATGGGGATCCTATGTATATAAATTAATACATCTAAAAAGTCAAGAAAATAAGCTTCACAGGACTAAATGTCCCATGAATAGAGGATGATGAACAACATACCTGGTAAGATCCACTGGCAAGACCGGCAGGGAAATTAGGACTGACTGTCTTGGCAATGCCATCTGTGTGATTGCTATCTATGTGAAGATACAGATAGTGACCTGGAAAAGAAGTTTTAATTAGGTTTTAACGAGGTCAGTCAGGTTTGTCTACTGCTGGAATCCTCACAAAATTACACTCAGGGTTTACTATTATCTCCTGATGGAGCCAACAAGTTCTGGCATATCGTCATTCTACAATGTGAAGTTGTACAGGAGAACACAGGGGCCATACAGTACAGCTCCCTGCCATGCAGGAACATGCAATCAAAGCACTCCCAACAGGCTATATTTTGCAAAATATCCATATCCTGCAATATGACGCTCTGAAAATAATTAGTGTACCTTGCCTTTAATTCCCTTAGCCATGCACAAGCGAAAATCTCCATTGCATTGCATGGATCACGCACATATCTGGCTTGAATCTCAGTTACCGTTGCAAATGTTAAAAGGCCTGAAGCAGCCCGGGAAAGTTTCTACAAGATTTCAGACAAGCAACTAGATGAAACAATAGAGCTCTCATTCTCCATGGACTCAACAGTTTTAGATTTGTTACATGCCGTATTGCCTTATTGTATTTGGAAAATGATGACACATGGTTTGTTAACACACAGCTAGCGCGGCTTCATCCTTATATCCCATTAAGAGCCAGATGAAATAGTTTACCTTGTTTCATTTACTTCCAGCCAGTCTTTCAAACATTTAAAACTTACTGCTTTTAGGACTTAAAAAAAAAAGATATACACTGTCTCTGATGGTAGATGAGCACTCATTCAATTGGGATGGGGTGGGGTGGGGGTAAGTACATTTCCCGAATAAGGGCATGGCCCATAAATACGAGAAGAAGTGCAACCTAATCACACTTCCTCTATTACCGCTTCTTTAGAACATGAAGATTGTTCGGAAACTCCAAATGGTCCAACGGGCGGTAGCCAGGTTATTAACAGAAGCGGTGCTCAGGGAGCACACAACTCCTCTGCTGCACCAACTCCACTGGCTGCCTGTCTGCTACCGAGCACAATTCAAAGTGCTGGTTTTAGCCTATAAAGCCCTAAATGGTTCTGGTCCAGCTTACCTGTCTGAATGTATCTCTCCTTATGAACCATCTAGGACTCTAAGATCGTCTGGGGAGGCCCTATTCTTGGTCCTGCCTTCTTCACAGGTTTGGTTGGCAGGAACGCGAGACAGGGCCTTCTCAGTGGTGGCCCCTCAGCTATGGAATGCTTTTCCTAGGAATATCAGATCGGCCCCCTCCCTCCTAACATTTCACAAAAAAGTTAAAACCTGGCTTTTCGAGCATCAGACAAATCTAGATCTACGGAACAACTGGACAATGCAGTCGGATAATTATTTCAGTAACGAGACACTGAGGATTTATGTTTTTATTGGTTTTATTGGTTTTGCATAGTTTTTATATTTATGCTGAATATTTTAAACTGTATTTTGTGTATTTAGGGGCATTGAATTGTGCCAACTGTGAACCGTCTTGAGTCACCTTTGGACTAAGAAAGGTGGTATATAAATATGGTAAATAAATAAATAAACATACAAACTGGCATTTGGTTGTTGTTTTATTCTATGGTGTTGTTCTGTGCGGTCAAGTTGTTTTTGACTTCTGGCAAGATTCTAGCAAGAGATTTTTTTGGCAAGGTTCATTCAGAGGGATTTTCCATTGCCTTCCTCTCATGCTAAGGAAGGCTGAGTAACTCGCCCAAGATTTCTCAGTGGATTTCTAAAGCCAAGTAATTCAAACCCATTTCCTGGAACCCTAGCCCAGTATGCAAACCACTAACTAAACCATTCTGGTTTTAGTTGAACAGGGAGATAGCAAATATTTAACATACCTCTAGTGGTGTGTAAGGCAGATCCTCTAAGCAGATCTTCCTGGAAATTTGAATGTCCAGCAATAGACCAGGAAAAGTTCAGGTTATGATCCAACATCCAGCCGCAGAGATCCTCCTCAAAGGAACAATGTGCACCTTCCGGTAAAGTGTCTGCTAAGAAAATACAAGTCTTATTAAGAAAAAAAACCAGGATAAGTGTTTTATATTGAACTAGATTTTCTCCTGCTAAACTGGATTAACAAACAAATGTAGGCATGTCGAAGGCTTTCACGGCTAGAATAATTGGAGTGTTGTGTGGTTTCTGAGATGCATGGCCGTGTTCTAGCAGCATTTTCTCCTGACGTTTCACCTGCATCTGTGGCTGGCATCTTTTGAAGACTGATCATTGTACCCAACTTCACTTTAATGACTGTATTGGGAAGGGAATATATTTATATCCTACATTCTTATATTTTTAAAAGACTACCCAGGATACAATATCCTGTCCTTAGGCTCCTGAAAAAGGACGAATCCATATCATATCTCCTTGCTGAGAAACAGGGCTCAGTATTTCATATAATATTTCATATACAAGCTTTACATGGAATAAAGAGAACTTCAACTACAGCCTCTGCAGATTGCAGGTGAAAGCTTAGAATTTTTTCTTCTTCTATTGCAGCAGCCTTGCTCAAATTGATGCCTTCTAGAGATGTTTTGTCATTCATTTCCAGCCAACACAACCACTGGGACAATGCTATTGAAGTTTGGTGCCCATGCAAGACACCAGGCTCAGGAAGAAAGCAGTATAACTATTTTTCCTTTTTGTAGGAACTTGTAGGACAGAAGGGAATGGGCCCCAAATCCACACTCAAGGAAGCAGATAAATAATAATCCACTGAATGGTAGTGTGTGAGAGAAAGATCCACACTCACCACAGAAAAATTCATCATCTCCCTTGGAGGGACAATCAGTGCTGAAATCACAGACCTGGAGCTGGCTCACACAGCCCCTCTGTGGGCAAGGAACAATGGAGCCCTCATCATACTTGGAAAGGTGTAGTCCTTCTTTGTCTTAAAAAAAGAAAGAAAAAAGGAAGAGATTTATAAACAAATACCTACATTGTGGCTGTAATAAGTATATTGCAAGCTTCATTCCATGTTGTTTACACAATAAACAGGAAATAAAGGAAATATACCCACAAAAGAGTTTCAAAAGCAGAAAGAATAGACAAATTAAACTTATTTAAAATAGTGACATCCCACCTCTCAGGAAAAAAAATCTACAAGGAAAATGCATGCAACTGGTAGAGTTCTAAATTTACATACAAGAGAAAAATGATTGCACAACTGATAAAATAAACCCACAGACTTGAAATTGGGGAATGAGATTGAGAGGCAGACCTTTCCTCTAATCTGTTGAGACTCTGGCAATAAATCTATTTACTATAATACCAGGTAGAATAGGTAAAAGATGCTCTGAAGAATACTTTTCTAACACTGGCTGCAATACCATAAATGGTATCCAGTAACATTGATTTTAGCTTAGAACTGTGTCCTATGGGATGTGGCATTAAAAAGACTTTTTTTTGATTTAGAACCAAAGTACCACCATCTTAAAGGACAAGAGACAAGGAATGCACTAAGGTCTGGGTCAGCTGAACTCAGTTCTTACCTGCCTTTGCAGGACAGAATAGAACCCTCTTTTATCACAACTAATGACTATATAACCCAGTGGTTGACCAGGGACCACTTTGACCAGGGATCATTCTCCAACATTAGTACCAAAAGGGTTACAAATCTGTTCTGAGTCCCTCCACGGAGATAGAGAAGAACGGGATATAAAAAGTTCTAAATAAATAATTCGGTTTTTGGTCAACTTTAGATTCAGTTTGGTTATCTGGGCTGTTGATTCAGAAAATGGCATTGGATAGACCACATCAGCTCTAGTTTCTGATACAGAACATATGCCATGCAGTTTTCGCCATCTGCTAGCCCACAGAAAAACATATTTAATAAGCCTCGGTACTATAAGAGGGTTTTGCGAGACCAGTCACTCTTGTTGCAACAGTGTAGTAACATTGAGGCTGTGGACCATATTTTAGTTCTTATAGACAACTGGTGGTCCATGGATCACAGGTTGGGAACTACTGATACAACCAAACCAAAATAAACTTTACTGTGACCACTGAACTATAATATTTATCCACATATGCTGTAACTTCCCTTAGTTTATAACCATGTGAACTTATAAATTTCTTATTGAGGCAAGGGAAAGCACTTGATCAAACACAAAATTGGGCCATAGTCTTTCTCCATTGGCTTAAGGGCCTGTAGAAGTAGAGAGGGTTTTGTGGCAGACCTGGCATTCCAGTGTATGCCTCCTACACTGGCAAACATGGTTCATGCACAGTGAAAATAAATACATTTGACATTTTGACCATTCCCTGGTTCTACGTATGTCAGATGTGAAAACCAAAAATAATGTATTGAAAACTCTGTTCACAGTCATGTATTTGTCACACACTAGGGATGCTAATATTCAACTATTCAATTCTCACAAGTGAGGAGAAATAATTTCCACAGTTTTATCCCCACTGTAGAAAAAACAAATATTTCTGTGCAATTATCACATTTACACTTCCTGAGAAATTCTGGGAAATTATTCCACAAAAATAGATGTTTTGTTTTGGATGAGAAATGTGGCATTTTGCAGAAAAACAAATCAAAACATTCTTTCTTGGCAGCCATGTGTGCTTTTTGTATAAGATTGCAGTTTTCCAAGCAAAACAACCAAAACAATCACAAGCCCATAAAATCTTGCACAACAGGCACCTTACATATATATATTCTTCCACAAGGAAGACTGAGTGAAGGAAGAAAGATGCTTTTGAACTGTGGTGTTGGAGGAAAATTCTGAGAGTGCCTTGGACCGCGAGAAAATCAAACCATAATGCCCGACTGCTCACCGGAGGGAAGGATATTAGAAGCAAAGATGAAGTACTTTGGCCACATCATGAGAAGACAGGAAAGCTTAGAGAAAACATTGATGCTGGGGAAAATGGAAGGAAAAAGGAAGAGAGGCAGACCAAGGAAAAATAGATGGATGTTACCCTTGAAGCGACTGGCTTGACTTTAAAGGAGCTGGGTGTGGCCATGGCTGTCAGGGAGCTCTGGCATGGGCTGGTCCATAAAGCCCATAAGAGTTGAAAGCGACTGGACAAATAAACAACAACAACAACAACAACAACAACATTCTTGCACAAAAACAACGACTGGCCTGGCAAAACCATGTGCCTGTGCCTATTTCTAATTTTGTACATATTTTTGTGTTAAGATTTTTATTGCGTAATATTATCGCTTTATTATTGTAATTATGTTATTAGTGTAATTATATTTTATTTCAAGTACTTGTATTCTTCTTTTATTTTAATTTCTTTTCTTTGTCCTAAGTTTACTGATATTATTTTGTATTTGTATTATTTTGTATTATTTGATGTGTTGAATTTGATTACGGCATTGAATGTTTTCCTTTTTGTATGTAAACTGCCCTGAGTTCCCTTGTGGAGAGAGGGCAGTCTATAAATAAACTGTTTTGTTGTTGTTGTTGTTGTTGTTGTTGTTGTTGTTGTTGTTGTTGTACAAGACTACTGGCTTTGGGTAGGAAAAAATAGCCATCTTGCACACAAACACAAATGGCTGTCTGGAAAGGGGGAGGGAGAGGCATAAAAACCCATAGTTCCCCTTATAAAAAAATCCACAAATATTTCTGTACAGTATAATTTTCTGAAATGCTGCAGGATGTACACATACTGAGCAAAAATTCTGCAAAATTATCACTTCTGTACTATTTTTCCCAACTAGGTTACTCATGAAGTCTATTTTTGGCTCAGAAATAATGGTGAATATTCTGTAGCATACACTTGGGAAGGGCCAAAAGAGTACCAGTCCTTTCTCATCCTAATGACCTTTCCAAAGAAGAGCCACCAATGAAGTACCCATGTTGATATCACTACTGGAAAAGGTTTCAGGCATACTCCAGAAATGATATTCAACTCTTCTCCATTTGTTTTCCCCTACCACAGTAGAAATTTCAGCTCATAGAAAGAGCAGGTAGCATACATGTATCCTTAGTTTCTTTCCTCTCTTGGGAGTAAAACTGTCTTTGTTAGACCATGTCTACATGAAAAAACAAACAAACATACTCATTCCAAACCCAGTCCTAGTAGTCTTCATGATTCACAGGGACTTCTGGTAAGTATCCAGAGTTTTTACCCCTTAACCTGACTTAGCATCTCAGTAAGCAACATTGCAGGATCCCCTAGAGTTTGCAGGAAACTTAGGGATGTCTGCAGATCTTGTGGCCATTTGGACAGCTGAATTGGGTCTGATTCGGCATGATCCATTGCCAACCAAAGTAGTTTCCCTGCTTTGATTCACACAGTGAAGAGTATGGGTTTTAGGTTGTCTCTGTGTCACTTTTGTCACTCCTTCTTGGCCATAGAGCTCTGTGAGAGTTCCTGGTAATCTCGTTCACATCTTTTGATGTCAGGATAGGACACCTCTGAAATGACCAAGAAGATGAGGGGACACTTTAGTCCCTCCTTCTGCTACATGGGTGTCCCATTATGATTTCAGTAGAACCAAGTGCCAGGAGCTTGCAGGAAGCTCTGTGGCTGGCAAGAAGCAGTGGAAGCAACAGGCACGATAAGGGGACAGTCTAGCAGTGCCAATGTGGTGTTGGCCTAACTGGACCATCAGGACAGCAATGTCATGCCACAGAGGGATCGGCCCAGTGTATGTGGCACCCTTCAAGGCCAATTCAAGGCCAGTTTGGAGCATAATACTGTAGGCTGGCCATGGATTAAGTGACCAGTGAAGGTGAGGCCTTAGTCAATTAGTTAGTTGACTCTTTCACTCTGCACAATTATAGTACTAAAATTCCACTTGAATTGCCATTGCAACATCCTATGGAATCCTGGGGTTTGTCATTTGTTGAGTCATTAGAGATTTCTGGCTGAGACTTGGAAATACTGCAAATCCCAGGATTCCAAAGGATGTTACCAAGGCAGTTGAAGTTGAATCATAATGCTATAACTGTGTAGTGTGAAAGAGCCCAGTGAGTTCCAACCTGGGAACCTGGGCAACCAAAAAGTGGAAAGAATAACATTTTACATATTAGATATTTTTCTGCCATCCCTAATACAACTTAGTTAATATGTATGTGGGTATAAGATCTCCGCTTTCTATGTGTCAGTGGCCCTTGATAGGAAAATGGTTCTTCAGCCCCTCAGCTCAATTGTCTTAGAGGCTGGATCATGCACGTTTGCATCAGTCCTTACTCCAGGGCTAACAAGAAAGTACCACAGATTTCCATTTTTTAAATACTGTCATGTATCCATTAGAATTCATGTGCAGAAAGAGAAGACTTTTTTCAGGGAGATATCAAATTATTTAATATTAAGAAGATGTGTAAGTAAGCCTGCCAAATTCTGTTCCTCAAAACCAAGCAGGTGACCTTTGCAGGTGCTGGATTTAGTGGTGCCTTCCAGCATTAGATTCTCTGCAGAGTGGCAGTTGGGTTATCAATGAGGATGATATATTGTTTGCTTTTTTAAGTTTTTCCTTCAAGCTGTCACTGCATTTCTTTGTATTCACATTATACTCCATTTCACAGCCTATTGATAAATCATTGTTTGTCTTAAATCACTCAAGTTCCCTTTCTGTTCTATATATTTTTCACTAAATATGCCCTCTCTCATAAATATTTAAGGCTACAAGAAGAATAAATCTCTTTCATACTATTGCTTTTTTAAGAAAACAAACAGAAAAATATGAATTGATGGTGAAATGCATGATAACAAATATTTTTCAAAAAACGAATAAAATCAGAAATATATTTATGACATTCTGAAAACAAGAGTATTTATTCTAAGCCTTATTAAACCATTTAAAGTGGGGGTAAATGATATAAAAATTCAATACAGTTTTGGACATATCACCAGCCAGTACAGTGTTGTAGCCAGGCAAGTATCGGGCGAGCTTTCTGAGTGCTCAGAGGATGAAGAAGGGGATGCAAATTGTAATTTCTAAGGAATCTGTGGAAGACAGCAGGGGCCTGGAGAGAGATGTTTTGGATTATCCAGGCTGTTCCCAGGTAATGGAAGAAAGTTTCCATTCCCATGAGAATAGGCCAGAGTGGCCTTTGGAGGAGAATGTGGGAGATGAAGATTTTTCCAGATTGAGTCATCTTGAAATTAGGAGGCAGAATGTAAAACAAAGACAAACTTGTTTTTCTCAGAGGCTTAGAGATAAGGAGAGAAAAAGCAGGTGTGTGCAAAGTGATGTCATGGGAGGGATTGAGGACTTTTGAGTGTTTTTTGGGTCCTCAGGCCTTTAGTGGGAACAGCATTGTAGATAGGGAAAACAGCTCCTGGTTTCTAGTCCTAAGTTCCTGTTTCTTTTATTTCAAGATTCTTGGTTTGATTCCTTTTTATGACTTCATGTTCTTGGAGGTTTTGCCTTTCTTGTGTTCCTGTTTTCATGTTTATGGATATAACTTTTGAACAATACCCTGCTTTAGGATTTTTTTTGTTTTGTGTTAACTCAAATCTTTGTGGATTTCTTTTTGATGCCTTGGTTCAAAGGCTGATTAACTCATTGATCTACTTGGGAATTACTTTTTGTACTTTTGCTGCTTTTTTTTTTACTTACTTTTTCCTTTTATACTTATTCATTAATAAATGTTTACTTATTAGATTATTTGAACATTGTGCAGTGTTGGATAAAAAGGTATTCAAGGGCTACAGTACAATACACAGATCAATTTGATAAAGCAGTTCTAGACACACCCAAAACCATTTTGGTCATATCCAAAACAGCTTAATTAAACTATCTTTTAAAATCTGAATTTAAGAAAGACATGTGAAGGATAAATATGTTTGCATATGGCCTAAATCTAGCATTAAACTAATTCATCTTTGCTATTGTATTCTGTCAGAGACCCTTGTGTCCTCTTGGGGAGACAGGGTGGAATATAAATACATAATTATCATTATCATTATTATTTCTGAATAGTATCCCCATTCTCTGTGGTAGGTTTTGAAGGTGAAAGGTATATAAAGGGGAGCCAGGAAGACAGAGTTCTACCATGTTTCCTGGGTCATCGGTTGGGAGCCCCTCCCCTCAGTAACAAAAAAGTAATATATAATGCTAATATTGTGCTATGCTAATATTATATTGTATACACATATAATATTGATAATATTATAATGTAATACAATATGATACTAATAATAATACCATAATTTTTATAATTATGTAATATGAAATATAATGTAATATGAAATATATGTAATATGAAATATAATAATTTTATATTTCATATTACATGTAATTTTACTAATAATATTACGGTATAATGGTATAGTACAATATAGTAATATCTAATACTAATATTGTGCTATGCTAATAATATATATTGTATGTACATATAACTTGTAAGTTGCTCTGAGTCTCCTTCGGGGTGAGAGAGGGTGGCATATAAATATTGTAAATAAATAAATAAATAAATAAATAAATAAATGTTACCAGGAAAATAAAGAGTCTTATTAAACAAGTGCAATTTTTGTAAAACACACACACGTTTCTGAACTGAGTGGGTACATCCAGACATACCATGAAAACAGTTTCTGAGTTGCAACGAGCCTATTGCCAAAAGTCCAGCTCTTTTTTCTCTACAGCCTGAATACAGCAACGTGATCTCAAAGGGCCTTTCCATTTGCCCAACTGAACCTATCAGTACTTTCCATTTCACCCTGCAAAAAAATGAAACAAGTAGTCACAATTAGCAACATTTCACAACTATATAATCATTTTCAAATGTGCATAACTCCTATATCTTGTTTCACATAGCTTATATTTGTAGCATCAGGTATGTTTGACAGTTCTGCACAGTGCTATTATCTCTTTTGCTCCAGATAGAGTGCAGTGTAACACAAATGATAGTTTTCATGGTAAGCCTAATATATATCTGCTTTAAATTTCACATATAATATATTGTGAGGTTTCAGGAGGCACATGAAAATAGGAATTGGAAAATATATCTGGTTTTTTTTAACCCAAAAAAAAAAACTTTTTAAAAGCTTTATTTTTTACTTCCCCCAAGAAAGAAATGTATAGAAATAGGTATTTTCCCCACAGAATTGAACTGAAATATTTCCTCCCTCATCTGTGAAAGAGATGACAATACATTAAGATCCCCGTATCCATAGAGGATATGTTCCAGGCCAGTTACATGAAACCACAGATATGACTGCATTCAAAGGCCTTAGTAGATGAACATGTCTAGTCTGGTTTCTCCCAGACTTTTAAAACCACAGAATCTGTATTTTTAGAATTTTTCTAATAAGTAAAAATATTAATTGTCAGCAATCCTTGTGCAGCTCTCCGTGAAACCTCCCACACAGGGAACTATTTTGTTTGCATTGCTAAAATAGTACCCAAGAAAAGAGAAAACCAAACAAAGCAAGCATTAATTAAACACGCACACCTTGTTATTTATTCATTTATACATGCTTTCCTCCCAATACTGGGACTCAGGAGAACTTATTGAAATACAAAAATACAAATAAAATGTACACGAAAACATAACTAAACACTTAAAGAGTTGTTATTAAAGTGCAATGAAACAATTTATAGAATTATAACCATCTAAATCCATTAAGAGAAGATAAAAACCAACAAAGCAGCACAGCATTAAAAGCCCATTATGGTCAGTTCCTAAAAGTCTGCTGGAATAGAAATGTTTCCACTTCCTCATAGGAGGAAAGCTAACAACTAGGGTGACCAGTGCCATGTTTTAGGGACCAAAGTTGCTGAGTACAGGTCTATTAGAGAAGCTAATTGAAAATGCATTAGTGGCAGCTAACACTGGATTTGCCCAGAGGTGGACAAATAAGGATTGATACTAAAAATACCGAAAACAACGTATTTGGATAAGTACAATATAATGAACTTATTCTGTAGGACAGGTGGGCATCAAGTGATTTCTGAGCCATTAGTATTACAGTGTTAAAAGATGGGATGATGCCAGCTTGCATCCCATGCTATTCACTGAAGGCTCTGAAGCTTAAGTGATCTGAAGCTTTAGTGATCTGAAGTAGGGGAGACCAATTGTACCAGCCTATTTTGAAGCCCTCCTATCACACTGCATGCTGTTCCAATTTGGAAGCAGATTTGATGGAAACACAGAGGTTTGCAGAAGAGAGGAGGAATCTGCAAAAGTCACCTATACCCCAACCTTCAGTTCACTGAAGCTTCTAGTTAATCAAAGTTCTTCCATAAACAGAACTGCTGGGTACAGTCCTGGATTTACCATTGGGCTTAGGTGTGCTTAAGCACAGGGCCTTGTTGGTCAGGAGGATCCATCTTCCTGCCATTTTTTAAACCATGTATTTGGTGCAATTCTACATCGGAAGGTGTTCTGTTTTGGAGTGATGTAGAAGTATGCCACAAAGCAGGTAGTGTAGACCTATCGGGCCTTTCTCCTTCAGGGCCCAATCAAGGGGCTTCACAACTTAACTAGGACATTGGTCCTAAATCTGACACTGGCTGAGCATAATCCTAAATCCAATTGCTACTATACCTGTTGGTAAAATACTGGTGCTTGACATACTGAAACAAACTTTATCTCAACCAGTGCTGTGAATAATTTGCAGTACTGAGTCATGATGGGTCCTTTGGGCAAAGTTACTGTTTGTTGTCTGTTGTCTTCCTGCTTGATTTCAGAG